AGGGTAGAGCTAGTTCGGCTAGGTCCACCAGAGCTTGCACTTGATGTGCGCTGTCCGCTCTTCGCTGACTTGCTGTCTTGTTCTCGTTTTGTTATGACATTTTAGATTTTTAATGGGAATTCTCACATAAAAAGTACAAATATCGGACTAATTGGATTTATCTCGAGGCTGTCGTGCGTTGTCACACTCTTTTTCTTGGCCTGCCGGAAGATCTGAGGCAGAAAGCTTCTCGAAAAAGGAAGACTGGGGGGATCGGAGGAGTACTAGACAAGTTTCTAGTTCTCAGACTGCAGAGTCTCGAGTCTCTGGGATCGGGATCGGGGCTTGTAGCAATTAGCAGTAACCCAGCAGTGGCCGAGTCCCAATTCGTTCCCCAATCCGTTTCCAATGAATCGATCAACTGCAAGACACAACGATAACAACACTCGGCAACAACAATGCAGCAATGAGGTAAAGTTGCATTGCTCAAATTGATTTCTGCAATTAATTGAACAACGCAAATGACAAACTGACAAAAACACAAGGCACCGGGCAAAGTGAGGCTCGTGAAAAGCTCGTAGCGCATTCCTCTCTCTTCAGTCCCGTCTCCCGTCTCCCGTCCCCTTCCCCCTTAAACCAACCTCAAGCCATGCGCGGAATGCACTTTGGCTCCCGAACACGCTTCCAGCTCGCGAACAGAAAGGAGGGATTGTGACCAAGGAACTGCGATTGGTTGGAGGACATCTCTTCGGAGGCTATTCAGGGATGTTTTCGAGTTTATCACGGTCATGCCCCTAGATATGTTATTGGCTTTATTTATACTGAACTTCAATGGTTATTTCCCCACTTATCGACGAAGTTCCGCAAGGTGCAAGAATATTAATTATTGCTTCCAAGCACAGCTGATAACCTTGGTGTCGCCACGAAGTGGGAATTCTTTAGCTACACTTATTAAAAGTAAGGTTAATGTAAATCTTACTTTCTATATATCCAACCATAATCTAACTAAAGTTCGTGTAACCAACTTAAGCCACTGAACAGAAGAAAGTGAGAAAGTGCCAAGAGCCAAGCAACTGCAGTCCATCATTTAGGACCGAAAAAGTTGGGGGATGCGTAGAGAACATTTCATCGGAAGCACGCACAGCGGCGATAAAGATCTCGCTCCCGAACTGCACTACTCCGATTTCATGTGGACTCCGGTCTGGCCGTGGTTTTATTGCTTAATTGTTGGTCTCTCTTGTGGTTTTTGAGTTACTGTCTTTTGTCACTGCCTTCGTTTTGCCTCGCTCTGGGCTGGTTGTGTAACACATCGAAAACAGTTAGGCCATAAAAAACTCTCCTCCGATCTGACAACAAGATAATGCATTTCTCCGGCTACCCAGCTGCAGCAGCAAAAGTGACTAAAAACACTGGGAAAAGTTTTGTTCTCGTTGAATAAGCAAATAAACATAAGAGAAGGAATAAAGGTGAATTCAAAGCTATTTAAAGTTAAATTTAGAAACTTAAATCCTTTAATCCTTTGGTGTCTCTTCTGATATTTATTACAGAACTATCACAGATATATAGAAGATCCTTCTAGTAACTCATTTCAGTTTATAAAGTAATTTCAAGAATTCTCATATACGGAATAAATAGTTCATTTTTTCGGGTGTGGGAATGATTCTTCTGGAAATCATTTTGTCCAGCTATTTTATCACCTCGCGTCAGTTTTATGGGGGCTTGTCCTGCCCCCGAAGGAGAAATGGTGACAGATCAGCGATCGCGGTTAGTTTATTGCTTCCTCCCGTCTCCTTTCCCCACTCCTTTCTCACTCATTTCTCGCTTATCTTATCGCCTCGATCACTTGTTCATCGATCGTTTTCCAGGCGCCTTTCAATGGCCTTCTGGTTCTCAGTTCGTATTTGTTCTTTTTGCACTTATTGAGTTCGTTTCGACTGGGATTTCTTTCGGCCATCACGTTCCTGCTTGGAATGGACGCCTCGTATGTCCGACTAAACGTGATAAATGCATCCACTAACGTACTTTGCTAGCCGTCTCTTTCCCGCTAGCCCTGAACCCCCTATGGGCATCTCTTTTTAATAACACAATACCTTTCCTATGGCCTTGAGAAGGTTTCTGAGCTGAATTTAATCCTTAACTTTTAAAATATGATAGGCGAGGGTGTTCTAGTTCAGCCTACTAGCAGTAATAATATCAAGGCTTTTACTGAGAGCGCCAGACACGTGACACGTATGGGGAAGAGCAGGCCAGACGTGCGCCAGACACTTGAGCTTCGGTTCTGTCCCGCTGGCCATCGCACATCGCACTCGTTCACTCGTTCATTCACAAAAGCGTAGTTCAGCTCCTGACTGGAATACAAGTGTTTTTGAAAAACCAAAGCAGAAAACGCAACTGAAACCGAAACCGAAATGAAAATTCCTGTCCATGTTTCAGCGACGCCCGCAACACGCACAAGCGCCAATTTGAGGGGCTCGGTGAACGGGTGGGGGATGGTGGTTACGGCGGAAGGAGTTGAGCCGCCATCACACGCATCGCTACAAGTCCATGGCCATTGTCCTCGGGCAACAGAAGCCACATGCGATCCACTCGTCCAATCACCATCCACACGCAGACCACACACTCGGAAAAATCAAAATTTTTTAAACAGTTTTTGAGATTCAAATATATGATCTTCGTAATAACTCATTAAAAAGTTGTGAATTTTTATACCCTATTTTGTGGGTAAATCATATCATTCTTGAAACGATGAATTTCGCAATGTTTTCAATTTGGGCTCAGTGTGCACGCAACGCCGATTTGCGACCTACAGAGGAACGTTCCACAACTTGCCCCCGGACCATTTCAATGCCCACGATGATGATGACCACGAAGATGATGATGGCCACGATGTCTGGCCGGTGTCTGGACGTGAACGTGAACGTGGACATGGTCACAGGCCCCCTTAGCCCCCTGAAGCCCCACATCCTGTCATTCATTCCGGAAGCGCGAACGCTTTCCACGTTCGATTTTTATGGCGAGCGCTGAATTCGAGTTCCTCATTCATTGTCTACTCTCGGCCACCTCTTCTGCTTCTCCTGGACCTGGACACCCCTTAACACCCCGGCGCCTGACCCAAGCACTTGGCACGTTTCCTTTTTAAAATTCACAATTGCCGCCGCCGTAATTGTGGGAGAATTCGCTACGCCAACTTGTCTCCTCGCCATCTCACTCACTCTCTGCCAAGAAATCGATCACGTCTCGGTTTCTACACATGTTCCAGTTACGTTACGCTTACGTAATGTTTATACTACTCCCAGGGAGTTGTGGGCCCCATCGGGGGGCTTCGAAATTGGCTGCGGTTAAGGCCAAGAAACCCACATTGCTCTAGTTTCTGGCCAAAACAGCACAGATTAAAAATATGGATTATCCATGTCTTTGATTAACAATATCCTTGTGCTATAATGTATAAGTAAAAGCTATAAACTTACAGAAGATGAAAGTATATTTGAAACTTTAAGCAGCTGTTCTAAGAGGATCTTAAAGCCTTTATACGATTAATTTTAATATTTTTAATAGTTTGAATTTCTCGATTGCCAATTCTCAACCTGTCGAATGAATCCTTCTGTTCGAAGCTTCAATGTTGACCCCCACCTTGACGGTTGGTCCTTTCTTCCGGGGAAATTAAGAGGATGTTGCCTATTCTTTGTGGCCTTTTAATGGGCGTAGTGCGGGAGTGGGTGGGAGTGCTGTACAAATAGGCACATAAAAGAGACAGCTTCTGTCTGTGCGAGCTTAGAATAATAAATAAACACCCACTCCTGGACTACCTGTACGCCCCCTCACGCCCCCTTTCACACACCATATCCTGTGCCCCCAGTTCAAGGGTTCGGGTTCATTCCGCAGGATATATCCTCCGTAGGCTTTAGCTTCTCCGCATTCGATTGGCATTTCGGTCACATACACAAACACACATAAAAAGGCGAGGCAGCAGCGAACGCCCACGCAGGGCATGAGTGCGAGTGAGAGGCCCGCGAATTCCCAAATGTGTAAAGAAGTAAACTAATTGCTGCGCGTGCTGCAGCGCCAAACAAAAGCTCTCTCTCGCTCTCACTCTCCCCTTACAAAGTACATAAAGGCAGCGAGATGGGTTTTATATGTGCGAGCGAGCGAGATGGTGTTAGGGCAATCCCGTTTGCCAACCGGCACGTACAGCCAGCCATCTCTCTCTGGCCGCTCTCGCTGTCCCGCTCCCTCACCCGTCGTGGATGCTGTCTCATTTGGTATGCGCACTATGTCGATTCCGATTCGACGCCGCGTCACGTCCCGCCCATTTGCACGCACACACATTTATCCTGTCCGTGAATATGTGTGTGTGTGCCGTGCAGGAGTGTGCGTAAGGAGAGCGTGAGGCTGCTTAAAATGCTACTGGCGCTGCTCGCACATGACTCTGCCGGCGGTCAGGTGCTGCTCACCCACACAGACGCTAGCACACGCACACGCCCTGGAGCGCTAGGGTGATTCGACTTTCTTATGGCAAACTCATGTGCAATAGGAAAGTTAAGTTACTTGGATATACCCTGCATTTGCTTATTGGTATATCGAATTTATAGAAACGATTTTAGTTTTTAAAACTGGTGAATCGAAGGAAGTTAGTATATAGTATCTTTTTAAGACACCTTCGCTTAATCAAGGAATAATAATTTATAGCACTAAACATATATTATATTGCCTTATAGTGTTAAAACCTAAAGTGAAATCAAGATGACTATAAAATTCAGACACATCCTTGTTTTGGGTCACCCTAATGCCCTCTAACACTTGACGCCGTTGCTTCGTTTTTACTTCGAGTCACCCCCAAAAATCGAGTGTGCCTCTCGCTCGCTCACGAACTAGCCCTCTTTCGCTCGCTCCAACGGGCGCCGCCTCTGCCGCCGCCTTGTTGTTGTTGCTTTGTTGTGCTTCTCTCTTTGCCTTTTTGCCCTGCTTTGGTTTTGTTCGGTGACGTGAACGTGACTCTGGATTATTCTGCACGTACTCGTCGCCAGCGACGGACGTACCGCATACCGTACTCCGTGCTCTGTCTCCGTGCTCCGCACTCCGCACTCCGAACTTACAGTACTCGGAATCCGTAGGCGTACTCCGTATTCCGTATTCAGAGTCATCAGCTGCAGTTACACGTACGCAGCCCGGCCGTGCAAGTGTGTCCGTATATCCGTAGAGCCATCTCTTTCGCTCTTCCCCCTTCGAAGGCAGTGCGTGTCCGTAATTGGCAGGTCTCATTGTAACCCGTAACCAGAAACCCGGAGACGTGCCAAGTGCCACAGATAAATTAACTGGACGCGAACGCGCCTCATTTGAATGCCAATCGATTGACGGCTAGTTTGGCGATTCCAATCCGTAGTGCGTGACCCGTGCATCCCTCGCAGGATAACTGAAGACACGTACCACAGACACGTGCGTGTGTGTTTGTGTGACGCGGACAACAAAAGGATGCGGCCTTCAAAACGAATGCCACGCCCCCTTCAATCCGTGCCCCAAGTCAAGTGCAATAACAAGTGATAGAGTGAAAAAGTAACTAAACAAAAACACAACCCATTTGAAAGAAGTCTCTCGAAAAGCATCGCTATGTTGCCCTACCAGGCAGCCGTGGCCATGGACTACGCCGGATACCAAAGGCAGCCCACGCCAGGACACCCCGGCAGCCACATGGCCACCATGGGATCCCTGGGCATGCCGGCGGTGCCCTTTACCCACAGCTGGATGGTGCCCACGCAGGACCTGTGCGCCATGCCCCCATACAACAAAATGCCCGGACACCAGCAGCCGCCCGGACCCGGAATGCATGCCCAGCAACAGCCCCTCGAACCCGGGTTAGTAACCTCATGAAGGAGTACCTCTATAATGGGTATTTTCCATTAAAAACTGCAAACTGGAAATAAAAACATAAGGGAAAACTTTCATTTTTTGAGCCATAAACTTGCTTTTAAGATTGGTTTCGCAATAAATGATAGTACTATCTCTTCTTCTACTAAGAAAGAGAAAATTCATCGTGACATTCAATTTATATTAAGAAGAATACTCTTAAGTTCCTTTAATTTAACAAAGTGTGGAAAATTATTTTAGTTTTTAAACATTTTACTCTATGAACTAATGACAAGAACAGAATCACAACTCCTCTTGCTACTTGCGTTTTACCTAAGTTCTTTATCAGCTAATCACACCGTAGGTGACCCGCCAAGTCTTGCAAGCCCACACCTAAAAACCGTGCCTTCGTTGTGTACATTTTGTGGGCTCCTAAATTTATTTTAATGCGCTCATCACAGGCTTGAAGCTTCGTTTTGCGTAGCTTTATTTGAGCCGCGCGCGGCTTCTGGCTCTGAAAAGCAAGCCCTGGCTTCGGCATCGGCATCAGCTTTAGCCTGAATCTGAATCTCAGAGCCCCGTCTTCGGCTGCGACTTGGAGATTCGTATCTTAGCCGAAAGCGTCGTCGTCTTGGCCATAAAAATATTTTTTATAATTAAAAAGAAACCCCGACTCGGAGTTTGCCACGGGCCAAGCCAGTTTTCCCCTCAGCCACTTGCTTTTTGTTTAAACATTCGGCAAAGAGAACAGCGGACATCAACAACAATTTTAATTAGTTGTGTTGAAATTACGTTTAGTGAGATGTCAGTACCTGTGCTACATGCCGCATACCCAAAATGTTTTCCTCATAAAAGCGTCTGGTTCAAAAAACCCATACGAGGGAAACCGAAACCGAAACCGAAACCGTTTTTCGGCTCCCAGCGGAAGGGGGAAATTCAATTTCGGGCTAGAAAATACATTAATCTTGGCCTAGTCAATATCGAAATGCCATTCAAATGAGCAAATGGGCCACCGAGGGGTGATGATGTGTCGGAACTGGAACTGGAGGTGTTGCCTTGACAAATGATGGCGGTCTTTGCTTCAATTTCGCACGAAATTCGCCACTGTCTAGCGAGCGGGCCAATTGCCTGTCATTAGCGAAAATTGCCAGAGTCGAGGAAATTATAGTTCTGTCAGGGATGAGTAGCTGTTTCTTAAACTGTGTGCTTTTACTAGACTTGTTTAGTGGCATTCATAACTCACTAAATGTTAACATATACAAAGAAGTAACACCAAAAACCTTCAAAGATTAAGATTGTTGATACCCTAAAGTGCAGTTCTTGTATCGTCTTCTAAGATCTTTTCTTTTTCACTGGGAACCATTTCGCAATCTCAATCTTATCAAAAACTCTTTTTCACTTGATTGGCTTGGCTGTGCAAATATTTTTATAGATCCCAAATACCTTTCTATTAGCGGATTAGGTTGGGAATTAAGAGACCCGGAGTATGTAAGCGGCTTACTGCGGTCAGAATGGGAGAGAGAAAGTCATACAGTTTTTTGTCTGCCATTGTTTATCCTTGGGTTAGCACAACACAGGGAACACAAGGATGAGAAAAGGATGTGTGGCCCGGGGTCCTTGTGAAGGTAGAAATAGCCCAGAGCACCGTTACTGCTTTATCAGTCCTGTCGCCCTTTCTTTCTCCAAGAGATATGGTCAGGACCCAGCGGGATCGACCCTGGGCTGTCTTTATAAAGTCGCAATTCAAAGGAAACCAGAAATATTTATTACACCATTTTTAAGCAATACTTGGGAGACAGTCACTCAAAATACAATGCAGAAATTTGTGATATATCTTAAAGATATTATAAAGTTATTGTAAATCGGATATATACCTAGTACAGTTGCTAGAATAAGCATATAATCGCATTGAATCCATTTCCCAGTTGGTATATCATAAGCCTAACCATTCAGTATGCCCTCCCAACTCAGTGTAGAGCACGATGACTTCACTGCAGGTCAAACAGCACTGCCAACATCGAGAGCAACAACAAAGAAGTTGTCAACAAACTTAAGTTATGAAGGCTTGAAGCCAAGTTTCTGGCGAAGATGCTCAGAGAGATGGCCGCTTGCAGATAGCGGTACAGCAGAAGGCTGAGCAGATCCGTATCCCTGGGTCAGGCAGATCCGAACGAGAAGCGGCAGTCTTTATAGAGAGGCCGCTGCAAGTTTAGTGAATGAAAAGTTACATTTGGGGGAAATCATAAACCCGAGATGGGATCGTTCGGGAGGCGGCATTTTCACAGAGACACAGAGACCGAAGATGGGCAGGAAAATAATAATGAAAACATCAAGAAAGCCTGGGTGGAGGCCTAGAAAAACTCTCACACACTCGGGCTTTGGAAAATCTTGCAACAAATGGGCTGCCATTTATCCAAGTACAAACTGTCCGGCCAACTATTGTCCTATTCGACCCCAACCCAAACCCAAACCCAAACCTATTCCCGCTGAAAGGCTGACAAATGTCGGGCAATTAGTTTGGCCTGACACCATTCCATCACAAAGCCGTGGGTTGGCCAAACAAATGGCCGAAAACGCAGCGCTGACAGGTGCGAAAGGTCTGCAGAGCCGTCTTCTTCCACCGATCTCTTGGCCATTCGTCAGTGTCTACTTATGTAAACTGATTGATCCGCGATTTCCTTTTGCTATTGAGTTTAGAGTTTAGAGTAAATATCTTATGACAGCTTTTCTTTCTCGTTGACAGCATCCTGGAACTGCGCAAGGAGAAGTCGAGGGACGCGGCGAGATCGCGTCGCGGGAAGGAGAACTACGAGTTCTACGAACTGGCCAAGATGCTCCCCCTGCCGGCAGCCATCACCAGTCAGCTGGACAAGGCCTCCATCATAAGACTGACTATCAGCTACCTGAAGCTGAGGGACTTCTCTGGTCACGGAGATCCCCCATGGACAAGGGAGGCCTCGAGCAGCAGCAAGCTAAAGAGTAAGTAGCACTGATTGATCAGAGATATATCTATATATCTATCTCTGCATACTCCCTACCACAACCAATGATTCAACGTGTTTTCAAGAACAGTAAGCAGTTCCATATCGAACTCATTGGCAGCCAATCAATCACTTTAATGGGACCTTCTGAAATTCCACACACACTGTCACAGTGACACTCGCGGCACCCCTTGCCCCCTCTAACATCATGGTGCAGAGACCAAAATGGCTGCGCATGCGCAGCAAATAAAAATAAATTGCGCTTAATAACGATATTTTATGCAAATCCGGCAAAAGCCCAAAACAAAAGCATAAAAACAGTTGACAAACTCAGCGAATAAATTGGTTTTCCTTTCGCGCTTAGCAACGCATATTTTTAAGGTGCGTACTGGGCTCGGACTCAGTCATAGACGGCCGACACCCGGCGAGTCTTGATTTCACTTAAGGCCACTCCGCTGCCCGCTCCTCACGAAATGTAGGCAAATGAGTTTCCTGCTTTCGGTTTTAATTGCCGCTTCCTCCGTCTCTTTCTGGCCAGTAAGGCCAATAATAATGATAATCGAAAATGGCCGACAATATGGCGGCCCCCTTTAGGTGAAATGCAAATGGGAAAATGAAAATTTCACTGCGCTTCCGTGGCTCTAAGATACAGAGAAATACCCAAAAGGAAGTTCATTCTGAATATCTTTAAACGTTTCTTTTATCAACTCTCAACCACTTATCAGTCCCTTACGAGTTGTCAAGTATTAAAGTTCAGCATTGACTGCAATGTACAGATATTCATGGGGCAAGCAGCCCAACACAGCAACAGAGTGGTTGTCAACAGCTTCACAATGTATAGTATACCCTGCTGAATCCATCCAAAGCCAACCACCTAGCCATTCCCCAGCCAGCCACGTCATGCTCCGGCGACGTTGACAATGCATTGTCACGTCAAGCAAAAAGGCATTCCACGACGACAGCCCACGACTTCTTCTCCGGGCCTCAGTCACCATTCAGACGGTATTCAAAAGCTGCCAACTGGCAACGGCCGAGTGCACTCACAGAAAACAGTAAGGCCTTTGGGGTTATAAACTAAATTTAACATCAACTTGAAACTGCAGAAATAACACCATCAAAATTAGGATTATAAAACACTTTGAGTCGCTTCTAAAGATGTTTACTTATTAATACATTTTATTTATTACCTACGAATCCAAGTCGTATTTCCTTTCATACCCCCCTATTGTGTGGGGTTTTCCCCCGGGCGGCAACTGGCGAAGTGGCAGAGCAGAAACGGGCAGAGCCAAAAGGCGAAGGCCATCAAAAAGCCAAAAAGGTAGTCAAGGCACTAAAAAATAATCCAAAATCAATGGGGCGTTATGTATGGGGGGCGGAGGAGTGGCCGTAACGCCTTCATCCATTCAATTGGATTATTATGCGAAACTAAACCCCGAAAGAGTGGCAGCCGGAGAAGGAGCTATGTGTGAGCTAGGAGAAGGAGGAGCAACAAGCTGCGGGGCCATAAAAAGCACTTCAATTTGACCCACAGCCGCAAAAAAGAGCAGGGCTCTGGGCTGCTAGATGGGTGGTGCTGGAAGGTCATTACGGCAGGGGTGCAGCCACATATGGCCCTGTCCGAGCGGAAGCGGAAACTGTTTGCCAACTTAGCGCGCCGGGCAATGGAAGTCGCTGGGGATTTGAGGGGCGGGAATGAAAGGCGATTTGCACTTGTGCGAATTATGACTTGGCCGGTCACTCGTCCATAATCGTAAAATTCTATAATTGAATTAAATAAATAAGCTTGGCAAGGGCCTCAGCTGAGAAAATATTGGATGCCCTGTCCTGCCATATTTACGATGCCTTGCGGTTGCTCTCGTTGTCTTCCTGAGAGAGGGAAGGGGTGCATCACTTATGAAGCGGGTCAAGAGCAGGGAGGTGGACTGAGCCGTAACTCAGGGAGGACCCAAACCTCGATGCGAAAATATTGCTTTTGTCATTATTTATTGGCTGTTATGAGAGGCTTCTTGAGATTGTTCAGAGTAAAGATAATGGAAATATAAATAAACATATCCAAGGTTATACATTCTTAGAGGAAAACTATAACTTCATTTCCCAACCACCGCTGACAGTCAAGTTTCCCGTCTTGTCTTTCCGCAGGTGCCGCCATTCGTCGAAGTCCCGCCGTTGACTTGTTCGAGCAACATCAGGGCACCCACATATTGCAGGTAAGATATGGCAGCAAGAGAGACGGCAGTAGGGCTGAAGAAAGAGAGCGGGATAGCCCGCAGCCATCTTGTGCATACGATTAAAGTTACACAGAAAGAAAACTGACTGATTTTCCCTTTTATTTATTCAATTTCCCAGTCACTGGATGGCTTCGCCCTGGCTGTGGCGGCAGACGGACGCTTCCTGTACATCTCCGAAACGGTGTCCATTTACTTGGGCCTGTCGCAGGTGGAGATGACGGGCAGCAGCATCTTTGACTACATCCACCAAGCAGATCACTCGGAGATCGCCGAGCAGTTGGGCCTGAGCCTCACGAGCGGCGGCGGCGGAGGTGGCGGAAGCTCGAGCAGCGGCGGTGGCGGCGGCGGAGCGGGAGTGGGCATGGCCTCACCCACTTCCGGAGCCTCCGACGATGGCAGCGGCACACACGGTACGAACAATCCCGACGGTGAGTCAAGTCCGAGTTGTCGAAAGACCAGGTGCGGGATGAAACCCTGGTGGGGGGCTTAAATCCGAAAGGCTGTTTCGAAGAAGAGCTTTCTAGCTGACATGTGCCAAAGAAATCTTCTTTACAATCTTAAATTTCTTCTATCCTTAGTGGCTGCCTCGATGACCCAAGCCTCGACGAGCGGCTACAAGGGCTACGACCGGAGCTTCTGCATCCGGATGAAGTCCACTCTGACCAAGCGCGGCTGTCACTTCAAGTCCTCTGGCTATCGGGTGAGTGTCCATGCACTTTCTTGCTATCATCCAAAGACTATCCTTACTTTCGTTTCTCTTCGAGTTTCGTATTGTTTGACTTTTGACCTAAGTTGCCCTTTGTAGTCACATTGCTAACTGAACAGTTTTGGGGATATTGGGTTTGTGTTTCTGTTTTTGGTTTGTTTAACTCTTGAGTTGGCCCTAGGACTTGTTTGTTATGTAACTCCTTCGAGTAGCAGTAAGACTAGACTAACCCATAGAATCGTTTTCGGTTGTGTTGTGTAACCTGGAATACCTGCATTTTGTATTACGTATTACCATCCCATCCACTGCTTATCTACAGGCCAGCGATGCAACGAGCAATTGCAACAACGGTAGCAATGCTAGTAACAATGCTAAAAACGTTAAGAATCCGGGCTCAAACTATTCGGTACGTATCAATTGAAATCAGTACGTTTGTATGCCAGAATGCCAGGCAAATCAAAACCCACTCAAAATTACTTACTGAGGAAATCGCTTTTTAAGTTCTTTACTATTTCGGCCATAATTTTGTGTTTGCTAAAAATGAAACGAAGGCAAAGCCACTAACTGATTTTAGATTGATCAGTATCGAATAACTAGTGCGGAAGCTGCTTCAATCATCCACCAATCAATCGATCCACCATCCATCGCCGCAATCATAACACGCTCTTTCGGTTGTCATCAATTTATGCATTACGAGTATTATTTCATTTTTGTCAGAAAGGTTTGGAGTGACCTCGAAAGGCACTAGTTAAGATGTCCACGAATCTACCTTCATATACACATTCTTTTTAAGTGCTAAAGTTTCCCATCAAGCCCGAGAGTTCCTCCATTTCCAAGTGTAAAGTTTCCAAAACACAAAAAGAAGCACCTCCTGCTGAACTCGAACTCCGACTAACTGGGCTTTGGTCCGCTTGGAACCTTTGCAGGTGGTTCTGCTGCTGTGCAAGCTGCGTCCCCAGTACACCTTCTCCCACAGCCGCAAGTCGCAGCCTCCTCTCCTGGGAATGGTTGCCCTGGCCATCGCTTTGCCCCCGCCTTCGGTGCATGAGATCAGACTGGAGTGCGACATGTTCGTGACCCGAGTCAACTTCGACCTGCGAGTGGCCCACTGTGAGCCAAGGTAAGCTACCTTACCCTACTCCTCCTAACTGTCATTAACTAATGAAATGGTTTCTTATCTCTAGGGTGTCCGATCTGCTCGACTATTCGCCCGAGGATCTGGTCAACAAGAGCTTGTACTCACTGTGCCACGCCGAGGATGCCATTCGCCTACGCAAGAGCCACTCCGACTGTAAGTCATCAAGATCCTGTAAAGATAAGAAAGGAAAGCTATCACTGAACACGAAAGTAAAATCAAGCATAGGCTAGTGATAGATAAATTTAACCCAATTATAAAGAGGAACCTCTGTTCTAACCCAGAAACATTCGAAATTCTTGCAGTGATCGAGAAGGGTCAGGTGCTGACCGGCTACTACCGACTGATGAACAAGAGCGGGGGCTACACCTGGCTCCAGACCTGCGCCACCGTGGTCTGCAGCACCAAGAACGCGGACGAGCAGAACATCATCTGCGTGAACTACGTGATCAGGTGGGTGTGACTCAAAAAGACTTAAGGTCCAGCCCACTTACTAAGAAAACTCCTTTCATCCTCAGCAACCGGGAGAACGAGAACATGATCCTGGACTGCTGCCAATTGGAACCCAGTCCGGATAGCATAAAGCATGAGGAGGGTCTGGGCAACGACAAGAGCAGTGGTTCGCCAGGAGGAGATGCCAGCGGCGAGGGCAACTCGCACCTCAGTGCCGGAGACATGAAGCTCAACTCCCCGAAAACGGATCCCGAGGGCCATTCGCACCGCGGAAGGGGACGAAGTGCAGCCACCTCGCATGGTAATAACATGAATAATCTGACCATGATCAAGGATAGTCCAACACCTCTTGGCGTGGAGATCGATTCGGGGGTACTGCCCACCACAGTGGCCACTCCAGTGCCAGCAGCCACTCCCAACGGCAACGGCTCAGGCAGCGGAGTGCAGTCCACCAAACGGAAGCGGAAAACCAAGGCGTCGCAGCAGGCCGATGATCAGGGTCAGGAGCAAGTGATCCCCGATCAGCCTCTGCCCAAGCTCCCGGCCATGGAGCAGCGAGATCAGCAGCCTCGTAGCCGCTTGCCCTCGATCGTGGATGAGCAACCGTCTTCAGCAGCGGATTCCGCAGTCAAGGATCTGGAGCAGGCCATGTCCAAGCATTTGCCCTCTCCGGCGGCCGTGGTATCGGTGCCCCCGTCCAACACCGACTTCAGTGCCGACTCCCTGCTCAAGCAGCAGCAACAGCAACATCAGCAGCAACAGCTGGATCCCAACGAAAAGAGCAGCACCATCCAGTGGATAGGTGGATACCAGCAGCCACCGGCCCCCATGCCGGCTACCGCTCTCCTCCGACAGCTTTATGCCAACCGGGAAAGCGTGATCCGGGCGACGGCCAGGCAAACGCCTACCGGAGTGGGACCCGGAGTTTTCTACGGTGACCAGCAAACGGGACCCCTCCCTACGCCGCCGGGCAGTGAGTCATCCTACGAAAATCAATACCTGCAGCTGCACTCCGCCGCCTCCGGGGGTCATCCCGGTGGCCAGAAAACCTCCGCCGATGCCTTCACCAACTTGGTGTCCACCTACGGGGGATACCACAGCTCCATCGACTATCACAACGCCATGACCCCGCCCAGCTCAGTGTCTCCAAGGGATTCGAATCAGCCCGGAAAGGCAGCTCCTGTACTGACTTCAAACGGGGGCTACGACTATGCACCCGATCCGCTACGGGTTCAATATGCAACTGCCTCCGGAGACGGTGTGCCCGCATCGCTGCCGCTGAAGCCCCAGGCCTCGTACACGGCCACAATGCATCCTTCGGGCAGCACAACCACCGAGGGCGGAGTGACCTACAGTAATCTCGACCAGCCGCAGTACTTTGCTCCCCACTCGAGCTTTCACCTTTACCACAAGGGCAGCCCGGCCAGCGGATGGTACTCGACGGCTTCCTAGGTGATAGACGACCAGGGGCAGGCTCCGCAATCCTGTCAGGACCAGTACCACCACCACCATCAAGAAGGATCAGCAGGAGCTAGTGGGAGTCCGGCGGGGGAGCGTTGGGACTTTGTGGGGGCGCTGGGCAAGGTGGCTAGGATGTTCTTCAGTGCTAGGAAGGGAAATCCGGGTTAAAGAGCAGGTTTGCCCCCAGCTCCACTCCGACAGCAATCCCAAGGAGTTAGAATAGAGTTAGGACAAACTAAAGCGTTAAAAGAAACATTCAATGTTGTTAAATAGTTCTTAAGTCTGTAAATTATGACACCCACACTCCGCACTCGGAGACTGGGACACACGGAGACCCAATGAAATTATAGGCAAAAATACTCAAAACGCAATTAATTTAAAAGAAGAAACTAACAACTAGTAAAGCTAATCGTAATTAAAGTTAAAGGTACAGTAAGACTTGCATAGAGTGCCAAGGAGCAGGAACCGAGCAGCAGTGCGCTGCGAGAGAGGGAATCAAAAATGAAACGGCTTGAACTTCACCCTCTCCCAACCAATTGTTATTAATTATTTAAATCAAGTGTAATTTTAGCCAGACATACACACACGCATATAACAGATAAGCCCCCTAAATATGTAAACATAAATAAATATATTTAAACTTTTTACAACATATCAAATGCTTCCTCCTGTAGACTTAGGATTACCTTTAACGACACTCGCCCTAGGATATTCATTTCGATTCGATACTCGACCCCATCAAGTCGACCCATTATTACCTCTAAGAGTTCCGCTACCGTTCGTCTACTTCCGTTTCCTCCCTATTGTATATTTAATGAAACCATCTTTAAACCGAGTTAAAGTAAACTAAATGCAAAGGCAACAAATTAAAAGTGTAATTAAATTTTTTATAAAAACAAAGAAAGTTTCTCCCATTAAAGGCTTAAAATATTGAATATGTCACTTCGAACGAGTTTCATTCGGGAGTTTCTTGGGGATCCAAGGATTGAATAAGTTCTGATGAGTAGGCATGAAACTAGCCTAACTTTGACATATGTCAGACTGTGATCTCTAGTATCTCGTGCTGATTCTCCGGCAACAGTTTGACCAGATGGGCAGCGGATTAAACCAGTTGCTCTATGGAACGGCACTTCTAACGACGATCATGGTGGCGCCCTTGGTCACTCTGCAGTTCCAGCTGGGCGGCGACCTGCACACCGCGAGATTCCGCTTTTCGGGAGTTGTGTCCTCAGCCATCGTATCCCTGGTGCTGACGGCTGCGGCGATGGCGCCCTACACGTTTCAGCTGAAATATCCAAAGATTTCCTTCCTGGCGATGCTGCCCTGGATTTGTGTTTGCTTGGCCAAGTTCGCGATGAACGTGAGTTTGCAGCTCAATGCGATTTCCCATGTGGCCAATGGAACCAAGCCAAACGGCTTGGTCTTTGCCCTGGTTGCCTACTGCGCCATTTTCGGGCTTGCCCTAGAGCAGATGCTGCACTGGAAGGTCATCTACCACCTGATGTCCGATGGAATAGGTGCGATGTTCATCGACATCCCCCCGCCGAGGGCTTTGTAGGCTGACTTCATACTGTTATTCAGTTCGTTTTACTTTAATTTCTTTCACTAAAGACCTGCCTTGGTCGAGTATAGTTCTGTAGTTTCAAAATAGTTGGCTTTGAGATTTACAAATGTATTTCCGTTCTAGATCTTGTCTATCTACACTAAGGGAATGAAACTGAAGTTCAATTTAATAAAGCCTGTCCCAGTTAACCTTTATATACATATATACATAAGAAACGATTCTTAAAGCTAAAGTTTAAACATTTACAGAAAAAATAAACAAAAAGTCAAAGCAAGTGTCTTCAGTGGATTCCAAAGTCCAGACTTGTACTCCAAGAAAGAAAACAAAAACTTTTAGAAAGACTCCTTCAAAGAATGTCAGCATAAAAAGAAAGATTTTGGCACGCGATTGATCTTCCTCTGAAGTGGTCTCGTACATCCTTAACATAGGCATTAATTTGGTATAAAACTCGATACAAGAGTATTCCCTAACATATGTACAAAAGGGAGACAAGATCGTCCCTAGGAAGCCTGCAGGACAAGCGCCTGATCCCGGATCTCCTCTTTGGCAACGTGTGCAGTGGAATTCGCCAGCACCAGACTGCTCTCCACCTTGATTTGTGATTGATTTGCCACTGGGACAACAGCTGGGGATGAAGCGGAAGTTTGACTGGGAGTTGCGGCTTCATGCTTGGCCTGGTGAACCTGCAGCAGGCCTTGGTTGATGCTGGTGAAGCTGCACTGGTCGCACTTGTAGATGATTGCGGATAGCTCCTGTTCGGGATGGCGCTTCTGAAGGTGTATCTGCCCAAGAAAACAATATATATATAATGATTTGAGGGAGTTTGAAATTTAAGATCGATCGAACCCGAAAGGCGGTGCTCTGGATGGCCCGGAAATCACAGTGCGGACAGGAATACCGCTTTTTCTCCTTGTGCGTGGCTAGATGTCTCCGAAAAGCGTTGTGATCGCTGGCCTCGTGATCGCAGGTGTCGCAGCGGAAGCGCTTATGCTCTTGGTGGCTTCGCAGGTGGAGTCGCAAACTGCTCTTGGATCCAAAAACGCGCTGGCACTCTGGACACTCCAGCTGCTCGTTTCGCTCTTTGCACAGATGCTCCTTCAGCGTTTTTTTCTGCTTAAAAGCGGCTCCACAATCCTCGCAGCGATGCATTACGATGTTATTGGCTTCTGATCCGCTGAAGTTCCGATCGATTGGCAGCTTTCCCATGCCCAATCCCTGCGTGCGATGCAGTCGACGGTGGTTCTTGAGTTGCTTTGTGTTCTTAAAGCCCTTCCCACACTGCTCGCACTTGTAGTTCCGCTCGTCCGAGTGGATCTTCGCGTGGGTGTTCACCAGGCGCGAGTAGATGGGCGTCTTGAAGCTGCATAACTGGCAAGAGTAGAGCTCCATATCGATCTGGTGGGTCCGCCACAGGTGCGTGTGCAGGCAGTTCCAATTACTAAAGTTGCTGGACTTGCATTCCGGACACACCATTGGTTGGCTAGAGCTGAGGGCTCCATTGTGGCACTTGCCATGATACTCCAAAGTGGCGGGTGACTTGAAGCGAAACATACAACCCTCAACAAGGCACTTGCCGCTTTCTGGTACTTGGTTGATCCCCTGAGGAGACTTCCTTTTGGCAGATGTTCCTCCGTAGTGCTTAGCTCCATATGGACGGCCCCTGACGGAGGTCCCACCTCCAAGCAGAGGTGGATCCACAGCAGAGGGAAGTAGGTTATTGGCAACATATATGCGTGCAGGTTTTTCGGCTGCAGATGTCGCCTCAGCTGCCAAGGGAACCAGCGGCGGGACAGGCAAACTAGATAGGGGAGCACTTTGAGCGACGGATGTGGTCCCACCATAAGATGTTGTCGGCACTAGTGGGGGAACTGTTACACCTCCTCCTAGTGTTTCTACTGGAACTTGGGTGTTCTCCGGAGGAGAGGCGTACAACTGAGAAAAGTCCTTAGCCAGCAGATCCTCTGCAGCGTGAGGCAAACCCTCGATTGGCGGAGACTCGTTTACTTCACAGGGCGCGGACAAACCAAGTCCAGCATCTGGTACAGCCTCCTCTATCCAGGGCCAGCACTCAAGATCCTCTGCCAGATCATAACCGTCTTCGCTGGGCCAACTTCCACTAATCGGAGGCTGAAACTCGGCAAGCGTCTGCGGTGGCCCCTTTAACTGGGAATCCAGCTCCAGAGGCGGTTGCTCAACAGGTGGAAGTTCCATCGTGGTCATGGCCATGGGTTCCAAATTAGGCACGATCAAATGCTCTACTTCGGTGCGATTCATTAGATTCAGTTCGTCAACGGTTCGCAGGTGCAAGGTGCCTCTCTGGGGTGCCTTCAAAATGTCCACATTCTTGATGAAGATCTTCTGCTTTGTGGTGATAGGCGCAGTGGGAGGCAAGTAGTGCTCCAGTTGAACAGGTTGGGGTTCCATTGGTGTCAATGGGTCATTGAGCGGAGGCGGAGTAGTTTCGTCCGACACGAAATCGACGCTAAAATCTAGGTCCAAGGCACTAAAGCGTGTATTGTCTAGGCTTGAGGCGGGTGCGCCACTGCCATTCAGCACCGAGTCAAAAGGAAAGGCCTCGGAACACATTTGAGCCAGCGGAGCGAGGCTGGGCTCGAATCCTGGCAGAGGGCACGAGGTTGTGAGTAGTGCGTCCGATTGGAAAACGTCACCATTTTCTCCGACAGACAGTCCAGCTTGACCGGGGTCCACTGCCGACGGCATACTTCCATTGAATCCCATCCCGGGCAGAGCAGACGGTAGAACCATCGGTTCCTTGAGGATGTCTACATTTCGGATGTATATCTTCGGCTGTCGCGGTTTCTCTGGCTCCACGCCCACCACAGGGACATCCAGGAGACTGTTGTCCGTAATGAGCGGATGATTCTGCAGCTGGAAGTCGAAGGGCAGCAGGACGGGCTCCCTAAGCACATCCACGCTTTTGATTGAAATCTTTTGGCTAGGTTTTGGGAGCTGGGCGGATACATTAGCAGCAGGTGCTGACGGCATGGTCTGTTCGCTAGGAGATGCACCAACTGCCACTTCTTCCAGAAGGTCCAGGATGTTTCCCGTCGAGCCGCTATCCGGCATTAAAGGCGGGAAATCCGGCAGTGGCTCTCGCATACAATCCACGCTCTTTATGAAGATGCGACTCTTAGGTTGGTTTTGGTTGGGCATCTGTGGCTGCTTTTTGGTCTGTGCTTCGGTGGGTTTTCCGCTCACCAGAATCATTGCCTCATTGTCCTCCATTTGGTGATCCAAGGTGAGATGCAAACTGAGCGCATCGTTGCTGTAGAAGATGTTCGAGCAGCCTGTCAAAGAATTCGGGAATTATGTCTTTGCAAAAAGTTATCGTTTCTTCATCTTCATTTGGCAATCTTAGAAACCCCGCAATAAGTCTTAGAGACTGCCTTACCTGGACACTGTAGCCTTTGCTGCTTCATGTAGCAGTTGGCCAGTTGAAGATGTTGTTGGTGACGCACTTGGCTTAGGCTCAAAAACGGGCAGTTCGGGCACCGCAAGATTAAAGGCGGACCATCCTGAGCCAGCGCCTTGCCCTCAACGCTGGCACAGCTAGAATTGCGAGTGGGTGGTGTAGGCGTGGCATTAAGACGCTCCTTAGCCGCCGCCTCCGCCAGTTCCAGCTTGATCAGCTCGGCCTCCGACTTAATTTCTGCGGTGCGCCGGCGAAAGCCATTGCGGAAGCTTTTCTCCGGCTGTTGCAAATCCGTTGTGTGGATCTGGACAAACGGAATGGCCTGATTGGGCAGCACCTCTCCCGATGGATCCGGAGACAGTACTCCGCTATCGGGCAGCCATACAGGAGCTCCAGATGTGGTGGCATTTGAAGCAGATCCCGATCCGATGACCAGTTCGTCGTCAAAGAAGCCACCAAAGTTAGAATCCTGCTCAATGGAGTGAACCGGCGTTGAGAGCGAGAGATCCAGGTGCGTATGAGGAGGATGCGGATGCGACAGCGGGAGCATGTGCAGCTGGAAGATACAAATCGTATTTTTCCGTCCAAAGGAACACACTGGATGCTCACCTGGTGGCTCACCTGGCTGCCATAAATTGCCGGATAAGCCGCATCGCTCATCATAGGGTCCGGTTCCTGGTTCCGTGTTCCAGGTGCCGGATTCCGGGTGCCGGTCTTCCGTTTTTGGGCACAGGTCTTCTAATTCCGCATTACACTTTACTTAACTTTTGGTTTTGTCACAAAAAATTGATAGCGAAACAGCTGTTGCTGTGCAAAAAGTGGCATCACTGTTTCCAGGATTCGGTCACACTTTCGCTTCATATTTCGTTGTTGATATAAATAATATAATAAAATATAATATAATATAAAAATTTTGGACAGTTTTAGTAAAAGAGGGAAGTGGATTTTTTTTAGTGAATCTCTGATTCTTTACTTCATACATATTGCGTCTGTCGATAACATTTGGGGTAAAATGCCGCATCACTATCTGGTAACACTGAGCATAGTTTGGTGGATTTGTGTAAAATTAGTCAATATTCTTAATTCCCGCGAATAATAGAAATTTAATATCTAATAATGCCGCGAATAATGATCAAGGGCGGCGTGTGGCGCAACACGGAGGTGGGTATCTTTATAAATAACTCGATCGCAGATTGAATACCTAATTTCAAATTCTAGGATGAGATCCTCAAGGCGGCGGTGATGAAATATGGCAAAAACCAATGGAGTCGCATTGCCTCCTTGCTGCACAGGAAGTCGGCCAAGCAATGCAAGGCCAGGTGGTACGAGTGGCTGGATCCTAGCATTAAAAAGACCGAGTGGTCACGCGAGGAGGACGAAAAGCTGCTTCATTTGGCCAAGCTAATGCCGACGCAGTGGCGGACAATAGCTCCTATAATTGGGCGAACTGCAGCCCAGTGCCTGGAACGCTACGAGTACTTGCTGTAAGTCTGAAACCCTATTTGCCACGCATGAATAAACCCCTAATTGCTAATCGTTCCCCTGTTAAACTTAGCGACCAGGCACAACGCAAAGAAGATGGCGAGGACACCATGGACGATCCGCGAAAGCTGAAGCCCGGCGAGATCGACCCCAATCCGGAAACAAAGCCGGCGCGTCCCGATCCAAAGGATATGGACGAGGATGAACTGGAAATGCTGTCGGAGGCACGTGCTCGTTTGGCCAACACGCAAGGCAAAAAAGCGAAGCGAAAGGCGCGCGAGAAGCAGCTGGAGGAAGCACGACGACTGGCGACTCTCCAAAAACGACGGGAACTTCGTGCCGCCGGCATTGGCAGCGGAAATCGCAAACGCATTAAGGGCATCGACTACAACGCAGAGATTCCATTCGAGAAGCGACCTGCATTAGGATTTTATGACACATCGGAAGAGCATTTGCAAAAGAATGAACCGGACTTTAACAAGATGCGACAGCAGGACCTAGATGGAGAACTTCGTTCAGAGAAGGAGGAACGCGAACGCAAGCGGGACAAGCAAAAATTGAAGCAGCGCAAGGAGAACGAAGTGCCAACCGCCATGCTGCAGAACATGGAGCCGGAGCGGAAGCGCTCTAAACTAGTACTGCCCACACCGCAGATATCTGACATGGAGCTGCAACAGGTTGTCAAGCTGGGACGCGCCAGTGAGATGGCTAAAGAGATAGCTGGGGAAAGCGGCATCGAGACGACGGATGCTTTGCTTGCCGACTACTCTATCACACCCCAGGTGGCCGCCACTCCACGCACACCTGCTCCTTATACAGATCGTATCATGCAGGAAGCCCAGAACATGATGGCCCTGACCCACACAGAGACGCCCCTAAAAGGTGGCCTTAACACACCTCTGCACGAGTCAGACTTCTCTGGCGTGCTGCCCAAGGCGGCATCTATAGCAACGCCCAATACAGTGATAGCCACGCCATTTAGAACTCAACGCGAAGGTGGGGCAGGCACTCCGGGAGGATTCCTTACGCCCTCTTCTGGTGCCTTGGTTCCGGTAAAGGGGGCTGGAGGTGCTACAGGTCCCATAAACACTCCTGCCTATGTGAGGGACAAGCTCAGCATCAATCCCGAGGAGAGCATGGGTGTCACTGAGACCCCGGCTCTATACAAAAACTACCAAAAGCAATTAAAGTCAACGCTGCGGGAGGGCTTATCCACGTTGCCCGCTCCTCGGAACGATTACGAAATCGTAGTGCCCGAGCAAGAGGACAGTGAACCCATGGATATCAGTTCGGAACCCGCTGTCGAGGATCAGGCGGATGTCGACGCCCGAGTACTGGCCGAACAAGAGGCACGTCGAAAGAGGGAACTGGAAAAGCGATCCCAGGTGATTCAGCGTAGCCTGCCACGGCCTACGGAGGTGAACACCAAGATTTTGCGGCCGCCATCCGAAAAGCAGAACCTTACAGAACAGCAACAGGCCGAGGAGTTGATCAAGCACGAAATGATCACCATGCAGTGTGAGTACCTAAAGTTAGACTTGAAAGTTGAATATTTAACTCATGTTCTCTGCAGTATATGACTCGGTCAAGGATCCCGTTCCTGGACAGTCTCAGCATAAATTGGAACAACTTCAAAGCTACTTTAAGGCCAATCCCTATGAGGACATCTCGCCGCAGGAGTTGGCCAAAGCCAAGCAGATGCTTACCGAGGAAATGGAGGTGGTCAAGGAGCGCATGTCGCACGGCGAATTGCCTTTGGAAGTTTACGCACAGGTGTGGCAGGAGTGCCTCGGTCAGGTTCTCTACTTACCCTCGCAACATCGGTACACACGTGCCAACCTTGCTAGCAAGAAAGATCGATTGGAGTCAGCCGAGAAACGGCTTGAGACAAATCGTCGTCACATGGCTAAAGAGGCCAAGCGATGTGGTAAGATCGAGAAAAAACTGAAGATCCTCACCGGCGGCTACCAGGCGCGCGCACAGGTGCTTATCAAGCAACTCCAGGACACGTATGGCCAAATCGAACAGAATTCTGTCTCACTGTCAACATTCCGTTTTCTGGGGGAGCAGGAGGCCATTGCCGTGCCACGTCGTCTAGGGTCCTTGCATGAGGACGTGCGCCGACAAATGGACCGCGAAAAGGAGCTGCAGCAAAAATATGCCAGCTTGGTGGAGGAGCGCGATTCGCTCTTCACACAAATCGAGAATATTACGGGCGTCAGGCCCACTGCCCAACAACTTGTGCCCGAACAGGAGGCCTAATCCATGGTTCGGCAGCCAGAACAACTCTAATTTAGTCACATAAAATCATAAAGAAAACACAACTTGACACCAATCCCAGTCTATATAAGATCCCCAGCTAGTGGCCGTACTTCTGGTAAACCCACTCCTTGTTGTCCAACGGGCAAACAAGGCGCGTCTTCAGCCAGCGCGCGATGCAATGGTAGTGAAAGGCGTGGTTGCACTCGCCCCAAGCCACAGTGCACTCGTCCTGGTTTGCATTCGGATCCGCCTGACACTCGATGCACAGGTTCATGATGTGGTTGCGGCAGATAGCGCAGTTGTCCACGGCGACGTCCCACGACCACAGGGCGTGAGCTACCCACTTCTTCACTACAAAGCGCTCTCCCCTGGCTTGGCCAGCACATACTCCACTTCCTGATGGCTCGTCATCGTTAAAATCCAGATCGTGGAAGTCCTCCGTCTCTTCAACTTCCATCTCCTCAGCCATAGTGCAAATTTATCTAATTTTTGTTTCTTTCTTATGTGTTTACTTTGAAGACGAAATTGAATTGAACTTTTGTAAGCCCCATATACACCTTGCCTTGACGTTATTTCAAAAGAATGAGGATAGAAGATCTGACTGGGAATTGGCAAAGTCAGACAGTACTTTAAGACGTTTAGTTTACAAAGCTCGTACAGATGTCGAAAACAAAAAATGAATAAAAATGCGTATACATGTTTGACTTATTGAATCGATTTAACATGATTTAAAATTCTGGTATGGACACGGAAAATGAAGATTTATTATCTAGAATATATCAAACTAATTCTTTAGACGGACTTTTCGTCTTGGGGATAGTTTTTTATTGCCTTCAAATGCTTCTTGCCGACAAGATGCTGCTGGAGAGTGGTCACATGGTTCATGATCATGTTGCAGGGCTTGCAGTAGTACTGACCAATCGGGGTGCGATACAAGGCCAGTTCCTCTGCAGTTAGTTTCTCGGCTACAGGCAGCGGCGCCTCAGGAAGACTGACATCTCCTGGCGGATCCTGGACAGCATTTCTCATGTTCTTCTGATGCCTAGCTCCTGCCACGTGCATCTGCATTTGGGGGGCCGAGGTAACCACTATATTGCATAGAGTGCAAGTGCGCTGTTTGTCGTCCGATTTGATCAGAACCTTTTGGGGAACTTCCTCTTTGGGGGCTTCTTTTGTAGAACTCTCTGTCTTGGTGAACTCAATTCCGATACCGTACCGTCCATCAGAAGAATTTACTCCTCCTCCCTCCACTTTGCTGCCCGCTCGCACCCACTTTCCGGACTCGTCATAGTGCCCGCTCCCTGAGGGCTTAGAGATGCGCTGCTCCACCAGCTTGTGCTTTCGCCCCAAATAGTGCTGGCGGGCGTGCTTGGAGGAATTCAAGTCCAGGTCGCACAGATCGCAATGGAAGGCGCTGGGGCCGGTGGGTCCCTTTGCCGGTCGTTTTACTGCAGGAGGCTTCAGACCCGCCTCCGTGTAGTTCTTCGCCAGCCAGTCGCTGATGTGCCGGTCGTGGGCCTTGGATTCGTAATGATCCCGTGCGCACTTCCTGGAGGTCATCTGAGCCTTGCACAGCTCGCAGTTTAGTGGTCCGATCAGCCGGTTAAGCTCTTCCGGATAACTCTCATCGCGTCCAGGAAACAAGCCCAACTTGCCGTCCGCCTCCAAAGAAATCTCCTCTATCCGCTCAGCCTTTCTTTTCTTGGGTTTTATGGAACCAGGATCCGATTTCCCCGTTTGTTTACCAGGTGCCACCAGACGATTTCCTGCCGAGATTGCCAGGGCCGGCGGGGACTCGTCCCGGTCTATATCCATAGGAGCATTTGGGGTTGCTCCCGGCGGAAGGTGAGGAATGTGAAAGTCGGTCAGGAACCCGGAGGAACTCATGTCGAGATTGTGTCCTGTAAATTCTTGCAAATTTAGAGATGTTCCTACAGATCCCGCGCATGCGTTATGACACGTTGTTTTTATTATAGTGCAACTATTTGACATTCCAAAATTCGAAATTAAAACTGTTAAAATGTTCAACCTACGAATACACTTCAAATAAACACTTGCAAAAGAAACGTATCGAAAAGTTCAATCAATTACTAATCACTTAAAAATACGTGGATTAAAAGCATATATGTAGCTCTCTGTTAGTTTATGAAATATAGAAAATAAGGTATAACAATTTATGATTGTCAGTGTATGTATATCAGTAAATTGTAAATATATAAAAATAATGAAACTAAACCAGATGACGCTCTTAAATTAAGACACATTTATTTAAAGACTGGTTAAAGTTACCAACGGAAAGATTAATTTGAATGATCTATAACTGTGTGATGGGTATTCGATAGTCGAGACACTCGATCATATAAACACTTTCAAACCGTTAAGAAGTTTTTAGAGTAAGTTATAAGAAATATTCTTTAAGAAATATACTTTGACCGATATTTAATGATTTTTGAATAGCCCATCTCTATGACTAGCTGCGGTTTGGCGCACCCATGCAAAACTAATTCCCTTCTGCTTTCGCTGATTATTTGATCAATAAAAAGTATTTTTATATCCATTCATAGACTCCCAAAGAACGCCATTTCCGAAGCTATAACAAACTGTATTTTTAAATTAAACATTTTATTGTATTTTGTTCAGCGTAAATACATTTATGAATTGATTTGGTGCTAAAATACTAACAGTATTATCTTCTCTCGTTCTCTATCAGTGTATAAGGATCGTATTCTCGGTTTCCGTTTGCGTATTGTTCTCGACCGCCAATTGTGGGTGGCGTTTGACGTATAGCGTTGGATGGGTGTAAATAAATTGCCATTTGTTCCGCTTTGTATACTTCGATTAGGTAGTTGGTTCACATCGTTAACCGTTCCGTGGTGTCTTTTGTAAATTTAGAATCGTTTCCTTGCAGCACTTTCGGCGACTGACGGAGATAATGTATAAGTAAGTGTGTGTCTAGGGGTACCTTATAAACGCAGTTGATAATACAATATATGGATCTGTAATGGTAGTGATATACAATCAGTTTTAAACATATGTCTACGGGTTCTAGCAATTAGATAGATTTAGAAGTGGTTTCATATAGAATAAGAAAGTCGAATCGTTTTTGGGGCGACTAAAGCGGAAGATTGTAGATTGCGTAGCTGGATTGTCCTGCCCCTAATCCTCGTCATCGTCTATGGCGGCACTGCTGCGTGAAATCTTCATGTACGCGGCGCAGATGCACTCGCACACGAAGCGGTACTGGCTCTGAAATTGGAAACCACGCATGAGCACCCATTTAATAAGTCCCATCTTATCCATACTTACCACATTCTGCACCATGCATGCTCGCTGATCGCGCATGGTGCGCACAATGTCCAAGGGATACACCGGCTCTCGAGCCTCCATCAAAGCCATTGCAGTGTCCATTAGGATGAGTACTCCAGTACGTCCGATGCCCGCCGAGCAGTGGACGATCACAGGTGGATTGGCAGCACTGATGCACCTTTAGATTTAAACGGTTAAAATAGGATAAACCTAATTTTTAAGGTGTCCAAGTACTTACTGATGCACGCTCGTCGAAACGGGCGTCTCGTCTTCCGGAGTGGCTCCATTGCTGGCCGCGCACTTGCGCTCCCGCATTATGCCGCCGTTCTCATCGGCATCCGCATCGGCATCCATCAAACGTACTTGCTTCAGGCTCTCCTCGATCTCCTGAAGAAGCGTGCGGTTCCGGGCGGCGCGAACCCGCTCGGTGAACTCCAGAAAGAGGTTGGGATCGGAGGGCACACAGTGGTCCGGCCACGCCAGATACTGCATGTGGTGGATATGTCGCTGCTCGTGTTTATCTTTCAGCACAAACTCGCGGAACACAAAACTGCCAGTTTCGTCCGGTTTTTCGCTGAGACAGCGCACCGAGAATCCTTCCGCTAGCTGAAGTTCGTCGCCAGTCACCGGCCAATACTGGTGACACTTCTGCCGACCAGACTCCATCACTGTCGTAAGCATCACAAGCAAATGGCTGCTCTCCTGCTGCACCATGCGCCAAAAGTCTGTGGTAGTGCTGGCCAGCGGACCCTGAGTCGCGATATACCGGTTCACAGCTCCGCCAGGAATCTCCATGTTCACGTAGTTGGCGTTTATGTAATCGCCTGTCAGCGAGTTGACCAAAGAAACCCGCGTGCAATCATCTGAAAGGATAATTCCATTTATAGATGTGGTATGGATTGATCTCTTTCTTACTTACATGGCGATATGTCTCGATATCTGTTCTTCGGCGCATTGGCTGGCTTCCGAGCCTCTGTGATCGTCAGATCAGGGTTCTTCCTGTACATTAACTCGTACTGAGCTAGTAGGGCTCCTGATGCCAAGCCATCGCTGAGCAGCAACAGGCTCTGGGTGAACAGAGCATCCCCATCGAGCAGATTGGAGTGTGATCCGATCTCGTCGCTCTCTGGAACGTACTGGTACAGCGGCTCCTCCTCCAGAAGGAGAGGTGCCGAGCGCTGGGGGCGCACTGTGAGCAGTAGTTCGCCGCTGGACTGGTGACGGCAATCACGAATCATGGCTACCACCTGCTCGTGTCGCAGGCCATGCACATCCCGACCGTTAATCATGAGCACCTCGTCGCCTTCGCAGACACGCGGTGTGCAGCGATCGGCGGGTGTATGGGGTACCACTTTCGAAATTTGGACGGGGAGACTTAAGTCCACTCCGCCCTTCACGTTGAAGCCAAAGCGACCCTGCTCGTCCGCTTGCAATCGGATGGTAATAAGATCGCTGCCGCTCTCCGGCTGTTGCTGGCCGACCGCGTCTGCGATGGTTGTGGGCAGCAGGAGTGGACTGTGCTGGCCGGAGCTATAGGCGGGTGGCATTGGTGACGGCGAAGCAGACTCGAATCGTCGGGTGCACTGTTCAATGAAGCCCACGTCGCTGTAAGGCAAAAGACAATGTAGATCTTATGTTATTGTTTCTTAACCGATTCTCACTTACAGCTGGATGTCGTACTCGTCGCTTTGCTGCTCCCAGGCCTTTCGCGGCATGGAGTCGGACTCCTTGGAGGTCACCTTGTTGTCATGAGGGCGGCTCGTCTTCGTGATGGTCAAAACGGTGCCTCCAGAAGCTGCCTTGCCGTTGTTGTGGGAGGTGGCACTTTCGGAGCCACTGTGCTGCAGCATCGGAGTACCGCCCGAGGAGCCTGATGTTCCGACCCCGCCAGAAGCTCCTAGAAGCCGCTTGCTGGGTGAGCGGACAAAGACCTTGTGAATGCGGCCACGCTGTTTGGATTCCTGCACCGCCTGAAGCTCCGTTCGTCCAGAGTAGTAAAACTTGCTGCCCAGACTGATGCTGAGGAAGCGCGAGAGGCGGTGCGGTCGTTTCAGACGGAAGAAGCTGTGGTGCTCTACACAAGATTTCCAAAGCGCCTTCGCGTGCTTGTGGCTGCTCATTCCAAATCCCAGCAGAGTGTCGTAGTTCTCGCTTGGCTCGCGCCTTAGCTGGATAAAAAAGTCCTTCCGTTTGAATGACACCTTGACCATTTTGCTCCACGAGAAGGTGTTAACCCGCAACGAATGTTGGAAGACGATCAGCCCCACCGCTGATACACCTAGCTGCAGCTCTTTGCCATTGGAATCGGTGGCCTTGTGCAGGTCAATTCCGTACAGTTCCAGACGCTTGGCGTGCTCCAGATAGTTGTACTCCGCGTCCGCCGGTAGCTGGCCACGGTGCAACTTGTGCAGTTCCCCAACCTTTCGCTCCGCCTCGGGCGTCTGGTCACAGAGAAGCTGCATTCCGCTCAAGTATCCCGGCAAGTGTTCCGGCGCATTAAAGTCGCCCAACTCCGCTGTGTGTTAAAAAGAGGAGATTAATACCAAAAGTGAGTAAACAGTAAAAGAGCCAAAACTCACACTGCACCGTGTAGCTGGCAAGCAGGCACTGGGTGTTGCTGGAGCATGGCAGCTTTCCAAGCAGGATGTGGCGCTTGATCTGCAGATAGAACTGGTAGCGAGTGAACTCTTCCTGCAGTCGGCTGGGATCGCTTACAAAGAACTGTGAATAAACGGGGATCTTAGGTTCTCTCAGATAGGTCGAGCAGAAGACTGCAATCTCACCTTAACCCTAAACTCTAATAATGGAACGGCATCGTTGTCGAGGGAAACGCTGCTGCACTGCTTCTTGAACTGCTTTTGGGCATCCACCCATCTCTGTTAGAGGGATACAAAATGATAAGTCACAAGTGTTATTGAGGGTGAGAATGTAATGACTTACCACAACGTCACCTGGCTTCTGGGGAAAAAGTAGACCAAAGTAGTCCCTTTCGGAAAGCTCGAGATATTGAAAGACCTGCTCCAAAAGTTCAGAGCCTTTCGCACGTTTCTGAAAAAGAAAAGAGGATGGTGATTAATGGTTTGGATATCCAAACCTTTAAAAACCCACAAATATCTACAATATCTTCGAAGCAGAGCTTCACTTCCTAAGCGATTTTAAAAACCCATCTACATAAACAGAAGTCTTAGCGGCACAAAGTTAATTGGATTTCTCCTTCCTTTGCGTACACTGCAATTACAGTGATTAGACGACTACAATTTAGTTGCAATTAGGTAGATTCCGATTCGATTATAATTTTAAGCTGCGGCAACCGCACACACTCGATCATCGAGGTGAAAGAAAGTAAAACCATGGACGGAGACGTGGAAACAATGCGGACAAGTGCGTGTCTAGAGATGCTAGACGAGATGAAAGTGAGCATCGAGTGCAGAGTCAAAAATGAAAAGATACAAAATGAATAAATGAATAGTGATGATGGAGATGAAGAGCCTTGAAAACTTTCTTTGTTTTGCCTGAAGCTCGCATAATGAATGTTATTGAGATGGGACTTTAATATTGAAAATCAACCCCAAACACACGAGCTCTATAACTGTATTAGGGAAAGGACTAAGGCGCGGGGTGTTACCTCAATCCGAAAGGTGTGCGTGATGTCATCTAGGAACAGGACGGTGACGCATTGCTGCCGTTGTGGGTTCTTCTTGTCGCGCGCCAGTTCTGGGCCGCCTCCTCTCAGGCGAAAGGTTCTGGTCAGGTTGCTCAGTCGGAAGCGCTCAAACATGACCGAACTCCACGAGCTCCATGATTCGGGTTGGGACTGAGGGGCGAAAAAACACGTATATCACGTTGGAGGGCGCTGATTGCAGAGAAGAAGCCCCTTGGCTGGCGGGGCTAGCTCTTCTGGCTCGGCTTCTTGTTTATTCGATAAATTGGCAAGAATATTTGTTTGCTTTGTATTCTGGATGGTTGTTTTGTTTCCAGCTAACTTGGCTGCCTCCCTCGGCTCCTTTTCATGTGGATGGATCTCTGATTGCCTGAAAAACGAGAGCGGGTTAGAAGGAGGTTTATGTGAGTACTGACTTATGGATTGATGAAACCATAAGGGCGTGCGCGCCTCCTCTTCCGCTGCAGTTGTTTATTTTCTTAGTTGTTATTTTTTGTTAGGTCCGAGCTACAACTTCACTCACTCACACTTCACACTACCAAGCAACTCAGGGCTTCGGCTTTTCTTCCCCTCACGCGCATACCCCCCGCGAGATTGGGTGGTGCATACTTTCACGTAGAGCAAGCACAGACAAACGAACGACGTCGTCGACAATCGTCAAGTGCTGGGTGACTAATAATTTGTCTTTAAGGCCTTTCTTTGCCTCTTACCTTGCACTGCACTCCACTTTTTACTTGCGTGTCATCGGAAAGCACAGAAAAACTGTTGTCAAACTTATAGATAAGGTAAACTCAGTGATTACCTAGGAGGCAGTACTAAGTGCTGCTAATAAAAGCTCGTTTACCTCTGTGCACTGATGTAAACTTTAGAATTGTCGAAGTTCACATAACAAATAGTATATAAGCTTTTAAACGCTGCTAAAATATCTCATTTTTGATATTTAAAATCAATAAAATTCCATTAATAATAATACACAAGCTGGTATCACTTCTTTAAGTGTAGTTGCCCCAAGCAGTGTGGCACAAATCGTCTTTGCAAATGATTGATGTGCCGTGTAATTGGCTTAAATGCTCTTGTCTAATATACACAGACCAAGTATCTGTGTGTGCATAATTGTAAGCACTATTCCACCTCTTTTACCTTTCAACCTTATTTTCCGCAGACGTTGACTGTTCTCCCAAACTGGGTTAAAACCGCTTTTGTTGAGCGAAGCGTACACGGCGCGAATTGAAAAGGGCCAAGAAGTGGGATACATGCCCCTACCCGCAGTTATCACTCACTTGCTAGTAATTATCAGGCGGAGGCTAACTAGCGAATTCCCTTGAGTCAGTGGCCGCTGATAGAGGCTGATCAGGCAACAGGGTCAGAGGGTCAGATGTTGGGGTTGTTAGACGGTTGACGAATGGGAAATAAGCTAAGGATGCTTTGATAGATTGTCCCTACAAGAACCCACGATCTTAAACTGGGAGACAGCACAATTGTCGAAAGTAAAAATATCTCAGTATAGGGGAAGATATTTCTGTATGCTGTGCTATATAAATACTACGCTTCCGGACTGTTGTTAGGCGAAAGATATAGATGGGGAAAACGAGTGTCAGAACTAGCACTTAATGTAAACAGTGTCCCGGTCAACCATTGCTTTTCTCCGGCCTTAAACTTGTATTGCATCATTATTAGTAGGAGAATGCTGCCGATCCATTCTAGGGGGTTCAAATCTCTGGTTGGTTATTCCAACGGGTTGACCAGAATATTATTCAAAACAAAGAAATGGATTGGAGGGATTGCGTCATTCTCTGTGCCCACATGACCAAGCGACAAACGAGAAAGTGTGCCCCAGGTTGGACACCATATTGGCCCGGAAGCCAGTTTAGCTCGGTGTCCATGTAGGGCAGCTTGTCAACAGACGCAGTCGCTTCTACTTTTATTATGAAATCGAAATGTACAACACCTATGGATGCCCCATTGGGAAGTGCATTGTTTGGCCGCTCTTCCTCTCTCGCTTTTTCGGTTCGTTGACCGACTTTCCGTGCGAAATTATCTTTGGGGCACATATTTGCATATATATATATACTTGTTTATTCGTTTGTACAGCTTTGTCTCTCCATCCCGCTGACCGAATAACGGTCTGGGGTCAGCCTCAGCTTCCGTTTCTTTCGGCCGCTCTTTCTTCGCTCGCTTTCAAAGCGAAAGAATCTCTTGCCAAACCAGTTGGGGTCTATTAAGGCAGCGAAGCACTTTCTTAGGGCATCTCCCCCTGACCCCGGCCCGAAAAGTACTTCTGTTCGTCTACGGATTGTCAAGTACTCATCAGTCGGGGGTTGCTCAATCCATGAAACCATTCCAGAGACAAGGGCAATGGGCACAATGGATCCACATGAGGTAATGGAAACCGCAGAAGGGAAACTCGAGAAACGAAAGACCAGGAAAAACAACAAAGCCTAGGCCAAACAAAGCGGGCGTTAAGATAAGCTTTAGATGGGTTATGAGGGGGAGTGGCAGAAGGTAGCAAGAGGACGACCAGATCTCAGTCAACTTCAATTACACGCGACATCCATCAAGGTGGTTTCCATTTTTAGGACGAGCTGCTTTCAACGCCTAGCAACCCCAATCAAAATCAAATTAGAGGGGGACAAAAAAGTGTATTTTTACCAGGAAAATACATTCTTAAAGTTATTACCACAGTCGAAAGTATCTGTGGATACTCAGGTTATTAAAGAATAAAGTATTTGGAAAGTATTTAATGGAAATTAAACAAAATCGGGGACGAATAGCTTGGAGGAAATACGATTTGACCTCCGGGAAATTGCTTTTAGAGTTAAGCAGGGAACTCTCTGTGGAAAGAACAGGTTATGCCCCTGATTGATTTTCTCTCGTGCCGGCGACGCATCAATTACACTGGTCTGGCAATAATTATCGGCTGGCGTATGCATTTGCTGGGTTTATTTTATGCCTGCCTATACCGTAATACCTCAGGGTTGCCATGTGTGCGTTGTGGAAGGGGTAGCGACCCCAGGAAGGGATGGAGTCTTCATCCAAGGCGGGGTTTAGTCCGCTTATCGTTGTTTGCCTTTTAATTTTTATTGCTCGGCTGGCAGGGGCGGATGGGAAGGGGAGCTGCGCACCTCGTATGCTATTTTCGTGTTCATATTCCACATGCAACCCAGTCCCCGCGACTGAAAACCCGGGCGACACTCAAACACACCCAGACGCACTCGCTCAAAACTGGGCAAGTAGTCGATAAATTAAGATTTAGTATAACAACAACAACAGCACGCTTTCCTATGAAATCACTTTGGGTTATTCAAACTCAAATAAATAAAAAGTTTTCGAAGAAAGGAAGTGAGTTTATGCAGTTTCTGTAGTTACTCAGCGATTACCACAACTTCAGCACAGTTTCGCTCAGTGCGTTATCGCAGCTGATTTGCCTTCCTTTCTTTCTTTTCCCTTCGTTCTTAATCCCAAACTTCATTACCTTTCATCTTTCGATTGGTGAAATGTATGTGTACCATGGAAAAGGGGAAGTTAATTAACGAATTTGTAAACAAACAATCAACGAAATAATTGCAGTGCATCTTTTCTATATTACATTCTCCTTTATTCTCTCTTATCTGCGACCATTGCCACATCCTTCATTGCACTTACGTTCGTGTGGTTTTGTGTGTGTGTGTGTGTGAACAACCTCTAATTCTGTCTATCTCGCCCTCTCTCTTTCACGCCTGCATTGAAATCAGGAAGAGGCTGTGTGCGGGAGAGGGACATATGCAAAAAGCGGCAAGAACAATAATAATAATTACGCACACTGCAGCAAGGAAGAGTTGCACCACAAAAGGGAAACGAAGAGCAGGAGATTCTCACCTCTTTTTGACTGCTGTACTGACACAAACTAAATAGGTTGTATCTCGATTTCGTTATTTTTTCACTTAATAAATGCTACATATGTTTCTTAGACATTCGGATAGAAGTAACAAAACACACGCACTAAATACGGCCACCGACACTCACACAGTCGAACTTAAGCAGCCGCCGCTTCGTGAAAAAGCAACAAAACCCGAAAAAAACACAATTAAATGCACGCCAACCGATCAACGAGCAACATTAATCCGCGTCGGGGTTTTTAAGTTAAATCCAATCTCAATAACGGGGTTTACTCGGTTTTTTTCGGAAACGGAAGAAACGAAAACAAACGAAAGAAACTGAATCGACAGCAATGAAAAAATAGATGTGACCGATGGTGATGGAAGTAAATAAAATTATGGAATCGATTAATCGATACCTTCTATTTTCGTTACATATCGATATTCCCTTTTAACACCGTTCGGTATTTTTTAAATTCGAAAAAAAAAATTTGTAGTCAGAAGATATTTTAAAATTAAATTTATTTATATAATCATTTGACTTTTTAAAAATATCGAATAACAATAAAGTTACTCGGACCATTTCTTATTTTTTGTAGGTGTGAAAACGGTATTAAAAAGAGTTTAACTTTTGACTTCGTAGTATATTATCGGGGATTTTGGTATACTGATGTTGATCTAGTTTCTTTAGTATTTTGCAAGACAATTTCCTTAGAGTTAACAGAAATAAACAAATATGTTGTGATTTGTTTTCATTTCAACTAATGCTATAAAGAACCTATGTAATGAATCATAAATACTTTTAATAAAAAACGATAAAGGCACACCTTGGTAAGCCCTTCATCTCTAAAAGATAAATTGGTCCGTTTGAACAAAACGGTCAATAAGCAGAGAGCTTAGCAGCTGGCCGCCGGTACGAAATTTGTATAGAAATACCGCAGTAGAGAAAGTGTCGTTCCGGAGTCTACTGGCGATCATAGTCTCGGCACTTGATCGAAATAATGTTCTGCTTAAAGAACTAATAACGCAGTAATTTACTATATAGTAAATTTAGGAACAAAGAAATAAATGCAAGCCATGTATTTATTGAGGTACAAGGCGCATTTTTTAATACAAAAATATTTTAAGATTTGGCAGGGTTTTATTTTGTTTATCATTTTTAAATGTGTATGTTTGGTTCAAAAAGAAAGATACTTTGGTGAAAAGGTCACAATCCGTCTATGTACTAAGTGCAATAGTGGCCAAGCGAAAACCTTTGTTTAAGGAATGATTAATGAAAGGTTGGTGAATGGTGCTGCAGGGAGTGCACGCGTAGCTTATCGATGTATGCGTTCCTCTCTTTGCGTGGGCAGAGTGCAGGTCTGTATCACAGGGATGGGTCAATGACACCTGATCACCATCGCTGTTAAGTTAAATATCCATTCATACATATATGGAAAAACGGCTTGTTCTTAAAAATATCTTTCATATAAATTAATAATCAAAATCGTTCTGCCCTACATCGTTATTTGCCAACGAAAGTTTGATTGCAACAACTTCCGGTTTTTTTCTGTTGTCGTAATTTAAAGTCACTTTGTTTTCGAAAATAAAAACATTTATTGTGTTTGTTAAGATAAGAACAGTTAAATATTTTCTTTGAAATCAAAACAAGAATATGGGGGTGAACCTCAAGTACTATTCAGATTTCAGATTGTTGCTAGCGGCGATAGCAACGGGGAATTTGAATGTTTTATTATGCGAAATTCCCATTGGACCATTTTTAATTGTTCTTGAAATTAATCTATTAATCATGTTTCTGGCAGAGGCTACTTTGTGCGTCATAAAACATCTGGAAAAGCATTGACTATAGCGAATATTTCACTTCTCTTTGCAGACGAATACGGATTCTTGGAGCTTTTGGAGTAGGTTTTTTGTCGATTGTCCTCTTGGTTTTAGTGCACCAAACAAATGGAGCTATTCCCGACTGCGACTTCTTCGACACCGCCGATATTTCGAAAGGCCAGAAGTTCCCAAATGGCTCCTATCTATACGAAGGTTTGCTCATTCCTCCTCATTTGACGGGAGAGTATGATATCAGGGTTCTGCCGGACAACACGGAGGAGAAGGTGCCACTCCATACAAGAGGATGTGTCTGCAAACTGAAGCCTTGTGTCAGGTTTTGTTGCCAGCACGACCACTTAATGCATAATAATGGTTCGTGCTACGAGATGTCGGAGGAGGAACTAAATGGAATTGATCCAATCCTGAACGTGACCCTTGCCAACGGGTCGGTGGTCGGAAAGCACTTTAAAACCGACTTCTTCCTCCAGTGGGGCTTACCCACTTGTGACCATATGTTCTCCCTGGACAACCGTTACGAGACGGATCATTACTCCTTCTTCGAGGTTTATTTGTATATAATATGTATAGATTGAGTTCGGCAAGCTTAACTGGCGTCGTACCCCTTCTAGGACGGATCTCTTTTTCGACACTTGGACGAAGCGACCCTTAACAAGCGAGATTACTGCTTTCAGCATGTCTTAGCAGATGATGATGGCACATCTATTCGAATTGTCCCCCACAACTGCCCAATTGTCCAATCGAGAACGGGACAGACTACCGGTAAGCTTAACAGTGTAATATGTAGACTCAACAGGCACTCACTCTTCCTTATCCTTCTCCGACAGCGTTGATCATATCGCTGGTATGTATGGTTCTTACGATCAGCGTGTACCTCTTTGTTAAGGAGCTACAGAATTTGCACGGCAAGTGCTTCGTTTGCTACATGGTCTCCCTGTTCCTGGGCTACCTCTTTCTGCTGCTGGACTTGTGGGATTTATCGGCCGACTTCTGCATTACAGCAGGTTAGATTATAGCTTCCGTACCAAGAGAATCAACGATATCTTCATTATTGAATCGATTTAGGTTTCCTGGGCTACTTTTTCGTCATGGCCGCCTTCTTTTGGCTCTCCGTCATCAGTCTGCACATGTGGAACACCTTCAACGGTAGCTCCCACGGCGTCAATCGCTTCCTGCCAGAGCATCGCTTTTTGGCCTACAACATTTACTCTTGGGGCATGGCGGTAGCCTTGACCGGAATCACCTTTGCAGCTAATGAGCTAGTGGAGGACGAAAATTGGAATCCTCGTATGGGCGTAGAACATTGCTGGATCAATAGTGGGTACCAGATTCCAAACGTCCTCAGATTCGTTGGCTGATGCAACTTTCCCTCTCCATTTACAGCCCGGGAATGGTCTGCCATGCTCTACTTCTATGGACCGATGGTATTGCTGATCACGTTCAACATCATCATGTTTCTCCTAACGGCAGTTCTGATAGTCAGAGTAAAGAAGGACATACAGAAGTTTTCCCAGAAGCAAATGAGGACCCAAAAACTCAACTCGGACAAACAGACGTAATTCAGATTGTATTTCAAGAACGTCTTGAGGGATTTTAAGTGCCTTTCATGTACCCTTCACAGTTACACGTTCTTCCTGCGGCTGTTCATCATCATGGGTCTGTCGTGGACTTTGGAGATTGTTTCCTACTTCGTGCAAGACTACCAAATTTGGTCAACGGTTTTTCTGGTGGCTGATTACATTAACTGGTCCCAGGGAACCATCATATTTGTGCTGTTTATTCTAAAGCGCAACACGCTAAGACTCTTGAAAAAGCGGTAAGTAATGTTGCAATTGCGAGAGGAGCCCAAGTAATCAGGTCCATCTATCGTCTCTGCCTGAGCAGTATTAAGGGTGAGAAAGAGAGTGAGGAGGCCCGGGACAGCGAAGAAGAGATTTCCCTTGAGAATACCAAATATGACCAAAATGTCCTGTAATAGGTAATCCATAATGTTATGTTTCTTGGCTCGTTTGGTGTTGGAATCTGCAATTCTACTAATAGTGCGACTACTCCTATTGACTCTGCATGTGGTGTTGGGAAAATTATAGAAAATACTTTTGCACTTTTGTTGTGTGCTTTTCACCTTTTACTTACTCTTAACTTATGGTGTTTGTCCTTTGTTTTCACATAACTTTAGTTTGCTGTTGCACGGGAAAAGTTTTCTTTTCTTTCCGCCTATTCTTACTCATTTTTTCTTCACAGGCACCATCCTTCTTCCATGATGAGCATCAACAGCTTGAAATCAAAGGAAAGGCGTAATACCATGGCGGGATCCTTCGCGCAGTACACAAGAACTTCATCTTCGACGCAACTGTAGTATTTAGGAACAGCATTTACAGCATCACCTTACTTACTCTCAGCTAATTTAGACGTATAAGAAAGCAAACTAATTTGCACGCCATAATCCTTATACTCGTACTTATATTTTTTGAACTACTTACATGATCTTTCAAGATCTTTCGTTTAAATAAAAAATTAACTATTGAAAAGTCGTGCCTCGTCCTTCCAGACAGGTTAACTGAAGGTACGCTTTCTTGTTTTCCCATAACTACGGCCTGGAGCTCGTAAAAAGGGCACCTTTCCAATGATGATTTATCAAAAAGGGTTGCGCATTTTCAAATACTTCAGACGGTTGAATTCCAGAAGGCATAGAAAGCTCCCTTCTGGCTTTACTAGAGGTAAAAAATCCGCTAGAGCTCAAAAGCTTTCCACCGAACTGACAGCTTTTCGGCACAGCTTTTCGTTGAAATGATGGCGCCCAGCCAAACTGGAGAATCGCAGTTCAGTCGCAGCGAATTCGGTTAATGGAACAGTTCAATCGGGGAACGATAAGCGGGATATATCTCATTGAAGGCTCGAATAGCCGCGCATATCTAGCCATTAAGTTCAATTCCAGTAAGCACCCTCTTAATCGGTAATTAACAAAGCAAATTTGTGGAGCGTCAAAACAAAGACCGAGCACAAACACTGTGATACAGGCTGTGTGTGCTGACCAATTAAGAAATCCTGAGGCACTCGAAGATTGCTCTGCGGAATGTTCCATCTTCAAGGCCACTGTGCTTGGTGGCTTTCGAGTCGCGTAGCCAGAGGAACTATGTCTCTTGCTTACCACATTATGTACCTATAATGCGACTTTAATGCCTCGCTCGGCCCACAACAAACAACCGCGTTGTCTCTTCATGTATCGCCAATTGTTTCGTACTGATTTTTTTCGGTGAACCTATATTTGTGAACATGTGTTCAATGCCAAAACCAGTTTTTGTCTTTTTCTCAAGCTGACGGCCGGCAGTGTCAGGGAATAGCGCAGAAGCGTCTCTTCATATCTTCTCCCGGAAGGATTCGTCATGCTCCTTCCCGCAAAGTCTTCAAATGGGTTTTTTATTGAGTTTGTCAATATTTTTGAGGTCTGTATTGAACTACCCTATGAATGGTCTTTATGGCTAATTTCGAACACGTTGAGCTGTGTTTTAGCTCACCTAACTATAACCGTGCTGTGCTGTAAGGCCCAGGTGTACGTGCTAATGGTTTATTTCCCAGTTCGGAGACGTGGGATAAGGCTTCCTTTTAATGGCCCACATCTGTCGTTGCATTATTCGTTTGTATAAAAACAGTAGTGTCCGCAGATCGACAGCGATAAAAGTGTTTTAGTTCCAGTGTTTACTTGAACTTTTAATGGTTTTTTTTTCGGTAAACTAATGCAGAAGCTTTTCTAATTATGGCCCAAGGCGTGGCTTCTTCTTCGTGGTTATCTTCTTACTAGGAATACAGTTAGTTCTAGCTCTACCCTTCTTCTTCTAATCACTCGATCAGGCAGAAGAAGATCAGAGCAAAACAAAAGTGACATCTTTTTAGGATGTTACAATGGCAGCAAATGCTCGCCTGGCGCCTGCTAATTAATTTGTACATTAAATAACTTGAGTCATCACCCGTGTTTCCCCCGGGGGCCACTACTTCACTCAAGAAGTCCATTCATCGTCCGATAATTGTTTTGTTTGCCCGCAGACACAATCGAGCCACTGTTGGCACTCCATCCATTTCACATTGTTCGGTGCTTTGTTTTGCTGGCTTTCAATTAGCGAAACAGTCGGCAAAACCACTCGCCTTAACAGACCGCTAACAGGGCTCTGTTATACAGCTGCGGCAAGCAACATAGCTCTTTACATGCCAATTAAATCAAATCACCTTAATACCAGACTAGTATTAGCTGAGCATTAGCTTAAATGCATTCCTCTGAGAGATCACATTCCACCCACACTCTACAAAGAGAAGGCACAGCTACTACAGACCTCTTTGCCAAGCAGTCCTACTTTTTCACCCGCAACTGTATGTTCGGAAGTTCCTTGAGTGCTTCGCACCTGCACAGCTACGGCTCCGCAGTTCGCCCCAAGACGTCGCCGGCTGTGGGTGTTGCTCGGTCGGAGCTCGGAAAACTTCATCGAACAGTGAGCCAAAACAGGGACAGCTGTCCAGCTATCATTAGATCGGAATAGAGAATTACGAATGTTTACTTAATTGACCCGTAAGACAGCGTGTGATTTCGCCGGTAACTAAAACTCGAAGCACCGTAACCGGTTCGCGTGTGCTCATGTATTAACACCCACTTTCAAGGGAATTCCCCATAGCCCGAAGTCTCTACCAGTGACAGTGCGTTAAAAAACATTAAGAAAGAGATACGTTAAATACGTTATGGAAATGAGGACCTGTTGATTTCTTGAGAAACGTTTATGTGGTTACCCACCTTGAGCCACAAACTCTTCCCAGATCTTCGCGATTTGCATAAGTAAACTTGATAAAGACACACAGCCCGTAACACGAGTCGAATTTAAAACCGAAACCATGTTTCGTTAAAGCCTTTTGCAAGTCCGCAAAAAAACCCGTAAACCCCGAAAGACTCTCACACAGGTTCGGCTGTTTTTGTTTACCCATTTTGCCCATTTACCCGGTCAGTGTTTTCAGTGTTAACTGATATTCCCAACAGCAACAACCACAACAACAAGAGCGACGGGAAGCACTCCGTTTTGTCTAGCAAACAACTTCAAGTTCCCACATCATTCGCCACTCGAACTGGGTAAGTTGCACGGCATTAACGACTTGGATTATACATGAAATAGTTAGCATTCTAAAGCCTTTCCCCTGAATGGGTAATCGAAATAGGTGATTAATTGAATGCAGATTAGAAAATCCGAGCAGAGCACTGCCAATTTCATGACAAACACTGCCTGCCTGCTGGCTGGGTGCTGTTTACCCAACTGTTCCCACTCGATGCACTTTTATTGAGTCACTGCGAGAATGGGTTATTATAGCAATATGGCCGGATAGCCCCACAGGGCGCGCCTAGGTGGTCATCCAATCGGACCTGAACTGTTCTTTCGCTGTAGAATTCGAATTTGTTAAATGTTGTTTACACTTTCGGACATTTGGCTGGGAATTGTTGTTGAAACATCTTGGGAATATTGTTTATTGTTTGCTTTGAGGTCTGTTTATTTCGCACAATTTTCCACCTCCCGAGCATTAGATAAAAATATATCATGCATCCCCGGAGTATTAGAAAAACATATATAATATATATCCGTCTGGTACTTCTGAGCACTATCCTAATAGGTGTATGTTTGGCCTGCCTCTAGGTCAGTTCGCACCATCGCGCACCTTAGAGATTCGGGCGTGGCAACAGTGTTTTATGGTCTTGATAAGAGAAATGCATGCAGCACTTAATTACTGGAATGATTTTCTAGTTAGCTAATGACATACACTTGCACTAAACCCCCTCCCTAAGCTGACCTTTCGAACGAACACAGACAGCACTCCAAAAAAACGAGAAGGGGATTTCTCTTTCCCAGAGAGATTCGATTCAGGTGGGGAATGCCGAGACTATTTGTGGAATCAATTTATTAGGTAGAAAGTTTAGAAAACCATCAACGATTGTTTTGTTCTGAGATTAAAGAAGCTTTAAAAATAGAATTAAAGAGATCTCAAACAGCCTTTGGTGAAGTTTTCATCGAAACTAATGACAGCTAATAGACGTCCATGTGGACGGCCATTTATCTTGCCGAGTCTCGAATTCCCTAATGGGATCTGTTGACCGTCGAGCCTTCGCCTCCCTCCGGGAATAATATTTGGCGAACTTGCCACCCACCCACTCTAATGGCAATCAATTGATAGAACGCCCGCCTTTGTTTACAGCCCACAGACAGCAATCCACAGAGGCATCAGCTCTGGGGGTCTAAAAATACGCCAGCTGGAATTTCCTCACCAAACATTCGTAAAAATGAGTGGAGAATAAAGAGCTATTAGGAAATGTTTTTCGCCAAGTGTAATCGCTGCTTATCTAGGCCGCAGTTCACCACATCCCAACTTCTGTGTGGTGACTTCCCATCAGGGACTCTTCACACGGCGGTGTCTCCCGTCTTCGGCGATTAGTCGCACTTGTGATATCGAACGAAAACCGCGCTGCCTTGTCGCCAAGATAATGGGCATATGCGTAAGAAGTGTTTCCAGCGCTCTTGTGGCATACGTGATAAGCACCCAATGTGGTTAAGAAGATCAGCGAATCACTACAAAAAAACCCAATAACCATAAAAAACATAAAAAACCGATTATAATTTATGTGAGGCGAGTTCACTTGAGTTTAAATTTTGTTTCCGTGTAATCAACATCGCAAGAGGACTGACTGCCGCCCAGCTAGTGTTTGTTTTGTTCGGTCATTTTCGTTATTGATATGTGGATGGTGTCGCAGTCGCAGTCGAAGTTTGCTTAAATTGCGTATTCGCCGTGTGACACCCGGCTCGATAAATCTTCAGTCTGGGCATAGGTAATGTGATTTAAATGGCATTTAGCAGGGCTTAGTGGCAGTCGCTGACTCAAGGCCCCCATTACTCACCCACATCCTGACCATGGACAATCCCCAAACTGTCATAATCAACCAGATAATAGCCGAGTCCAAAACTAAGAACCTAAGGAGTAGCATTGCCGATCATCTGTAAGTAATAGCCGCCGCAACATGCCTCACATATTTAACTGGAAGCGCGTATTCGATAAGCAGAAAGGTCTACATATATAAATAAACTATAAAGTCATACTCCTTTGTTAGACATTAGCAGGCGTCGTTGGCCAATTGACTTATCTTATCGGTCCCAACCGTAAGACGTTTCTTACGCCTCGGCTACGAAAACATATCAACAGCCCACCCCCTTCGCTTTTCCGATTCAAATTCGCACTCACCAAGAAGGCGGAGAGCATTCGCCTTTCGAGTTCCCAGAGTGCCCGATATAGAGTTATCTTTCCATGCGAAAACGCCACTTACATTTCGATTTTTATTTATTAATTTTATTTTGAGTTATAATCAATCCCTCGGGATGCGAAGAGCGTGTCAAGCTACTTAGTATTCGTACAATAGGTTGAATTTCTGATATTACCACTTACCCAGATCCGAGAAGAAATCTATTCGAAAAACAATTGTTTGGCCAATCAAAATAAAACACTCGAAAAACTGTAGAGAGCCAAGAAGATGTATAAAGGAAATATTGGTTTTATCAACCGATCGATGGCAAACGATTCTAGCACAGCCGAGGGGCAGGGAAATTTCGAGAATTCATATATTGGAAAAGCCCGCTGGCAATAATTCAATTTTATGGCCAATTGTTTTCATTGATTTTAATGTTCCGCATGTTTTGATTATTTTTCAAACATCCGCACTTTTTCGCACATTCCCACTCCCAATGCCCGGCGATGTATACTGGAATTTGCTGGAATGGCCGAGGTGTAGGAGAGTATGTGCTCAGCGATTAATTATGCTAATTTTCTATCGCTAGATAGTATCCAGTATCCAGTATCCAGTATCCATTTCCCCCATTAGCCCCAACTAAAGGGTGTTTAATGTGTTTGTCCTTCTCCGCCCAATCGCCACCCATAAATTCATGCTAATTTTGTGGCCTACGCGCCACGTCAATGCCACAGGCCACAGGCTGCAGGGTTCCCCACTCCATTGAGTGCAAACAATCAACGGATCAATGAATTAGCGGTGCCCACGGACTAATGATGCAAGATAAGATAGCGAGCGGTATAACTTTTCGCAGTGGTAATCATTTTATGGACGGGCTCGTTAGCAGCGCTTGAAAAGTGGGCAGATCGGGATTGGAGCCGAGTCCGGGGAGAATGTCACCGCTATTGACAGACGACGGCAGTTACTTTCAATTTAACACGAATCCATAAATGTTTGCTCCGTCTGACTGACTCCCTGCGTGGCTGACCTTATGATTGATGCCCCACGGAGACCTTGAGGCCGTGGGTAGTCGCAGGTCGCTAGTCCCTCCTCCCCATGGACTCGTTGGCTGCTAATTGCTTGTGGCGCTATCCTGTCCCCCTCCTTCGCTCCTTCCGGCAACCTGTTGTCTCCATGGATGATTCACTGTACCCCCGCCCACCCCTTAATATCGGCCCAAAATGTAGTTTCAGTGGTCTAATTAGTGGGCTAGCTTCGCATTAGGCATTAGACGACCAACTATTCCACAAATAACAATTATTTGTTGCCTTTATGACTAGGCTCGGGTTACCTACTTTTTTACGACTGATGACTACCTATAAAAGCCTTCTGAAATATAAGCTTGCTTCTGACAAAACTCTTCTCTTTCAAGAGCCGCCATCATGCCGAAGAAGATTCAGCACCGAGGCGGACCCCTCTACTGCGGAGTCACCCTGCTGGGGGTTCTGTGCCTAGTCGTATTCCGACTGATTCCGGGGATCCCCTTCGGAGCTTACGTCATGGCCGAGAGGGACCGCTACCACACCATAGATGATCCGAATGTTCCCTGCAACTTCTACGACACGGTCAACCTAACGGGCCACACGGTCTTCAAGAACGGAAGCTATGACTACTACGGCACCATAGTGCCAGCGAACTTGGTCGGAAGGTACGACTACATCCACAAGTCGCTAACGGAACGCGTGGAGGTGCCGGAGCACGTCAGAGGCTGTGTCTGCAAGTTGAAGGCGTGTCTCAACATCTGCTGCCCCTGGCGACATATCTTCGACACCGAGTTAGATGGATGTGTGATAGACCAGAAGGACAACCACACATGGCCCGATCCGCCCATGCTCAATGTCACCTTCCGTAACGAATCCACGCTGCTGGTCCACATGTTCCAGCAGTTTGCGATCCAAAGCTTCCGGCCCTGCCCGAAGATGTTCTCCCTGCAGCCAGAGGTTAACATCTTTGACAACTATCTGATCTACGAAAACGGCTCCATGTTCCGCGCAGACGATAACCAGCTCATCAGGAAGAACGAGTTCTGCATGATTCCGACCTATGTTAACGAATCGGACCTCTACTACACCATTCATCCGGCCAACTGTCAAATGCAGGACGAGCACAGCACTGTGAAGATCATCAATGCCTATGGTAAGCGAGCTCTCTGATCTGATGCATTGTTTTCCACTAAGCTAATCCTCCATTCCAGCCATGCTCTTCTCCATTCCCTTCATGATGCTGACCATAGCTGTTTACCTGTTGATCCCCGAACTCCGCAACCAGCACGGCAAGAGCCTGGTCTGCTATTTGGTGGGCCTCACCGTCGGCTACACCTCGCTGTGCTACATGCAACTGTTCAACATCGATGCCATTGGCGTTGGTTGCAAGACGTTCGGCTACACGGCCTACTTCTTCTTCATGGCGGCCTACCTCTGGCTAAGTGTCATCAGTTTCGATTTGTGGCACAACTTCCGAGGAACGCGGGGCATCAACAGGTTCGAGGAGAAGAAGCGCTTCCTGTTCTACTCTCTGTACTCTTGGGGCATTGCCGTCATTTTCCTGGCATTCACCTTCTACGCCCAGGAGTTCACCGATTGGCCCTCAAACCTAAAGCCGGGCATCGGGGATGGCACCTACTGCTGGCTGGACATGACCAACTGGGCGGCCATGTTGTACTTCTACGGCCCCATCTTGGCCATCGTCGTGGCCAACACTGTGATGTTTATCATGACGGCGGTCAAGATCCACGGCGTGCAGCGGGAGATGGCCAGGATAATTGCGAGCGAGAATAGCACCAAGAACCTGCGGACCGAAAAGGACAAGTGAGTGCGGAATCCTCTTTTACTTTCCATCCAACTTCCCCTAAGAAGAAACCGTCGTGTCTTGTCCTCCCTCAGGTTCGGCTTGTTCCTGCGCCTCTTCCTGATCATGGGCGTCACCTGGCTGTCGGAGCTCCTCTCGTACTTCGTGGGCAACGAGAAGGAATGGTCGAAGCTCTTCTACATCTCGGATCTGGCCAATGCCATGCAGGGCTTCCTCATCTTCATGCTGTTCGTGATGAAGAAGAAGGTCAAGCATTTGATCACAAACAGGTGAGTGTTCCTCCACTTTGATTCCAAGTCTTGTCCTGTCCCGTCCCATTGGTCTATCCATTCATCCCCGACCCCTGAGTCCCTTCTGGGTGTGCGTCTCTGTCAACCATCGAATCTGTAACGCCGACCATTCTCAGAACGATACGGGTGCGCAGTCTGCGGCAGACTGAGAGCATGACGATGGGGCCGACATCGATATCCATGCGTCAGCGCTTCATGGACGCCTCCAACCAGATACGTAAGCTGGTGGTAATCCGCAACGCGTTCGCCAATGGCTCCACCAGCGGTGTCCACTCACACGATGTCTGAACTGAGAGCAGTAAGCTGGTTCCATTCCGATTCGATTCGATTGTTGTGGCCTCTAACAAACATAGCTGGCTATCCTTAAGTCTCTAGCAAAACGTTAGCCCTAGAGATTTCAGGAACACGCCCAGACAGATCTTAGCTAGCTGAGGGATCATGACTGCCTGCCGCCTCTGATTATCTTATTCGTTTTATGTTCGTTTTATGTACTTATCTCGTTGTCAGACCGCTTTCGATATTGCTTAAGCGTCAGCTCTTCAGCATGAAAAGCAGCCAGCAGACTAACCATAATCCCAACACTGAAGGCCAGAATCCGCAGCCGCCTAGAGCGGAGCTAACATAGTCCTGCCTAAGCCACAAGACACACAATCCGTCCTTTGCATCGCGTATATATAGCTTATAAATCGTAACTCCATACCCAAGTGCCCTGATCTAAACTCGAACTTATGTTTGCATCTACAATGTGTGTCCATATGTGCATGTGTCCTTACATCAATCTGACCATCGAAGACTGCTGGAGAAACGACGATCTAATGGCCTGAGCTCGACCGCCACCTCGACCTCCCTCACCTCCGACTCGAACGCGTTGCCGAACAAGATGCACCTGAAGGCGGTTGGCCAGACCGGTGGCAAGGCCACCGATCCGAGTCTAACGCCCAAGGTGGCCGTCTAATCCAGCTGGTTACAGGTAATCCAGGAACGTGGAAGTGGCCAAGAATGTCCTTAACACTGATTGAAAGATACCCGTAGACCAAACTAACCCTGACTAACCCCCAAAACGTAGTTCTCATAGTAATAGCTTCTCACTTGCGTGTTTTGGTGAAGGTAATCTAAGTTAAGCATATCTGATCGCTTTGTGTGTTTGAGTTCGTCGACTAAAACCAAAAACCAATCACTCAATCTAAGCAATTCTAATCAGATTTACCGCCATTGTCTATTCCACGCTGCCCACGCAATGGACGTCATGACCGCAGATGCTCGAGTGTGCGCGATGGCAGTAATCAACGGCAGAGCCAGTACTCCACCAAGACCACGTCGAGCAGCGTGGCCAATCTGTCGCTCCACGAGAAGTCGTCGGCGGAGAAGCCCCTGGTGATCAGCTCCAACGCGGATCCCCAGAGAACCACAATTTTCCGTTGAGCAACGAACATCAAGATGCCATCAGAGGCATCAGAGAGTCTACTACACTGGGATGTCTCCAGAGCAGGAAGGGTCAATTTTCCAGCAAAGAAAACTCATTATATTAATCTAATATTCATTTTCATTTCCCAACCTGGTTGGGTCCCGGATCATGTATGTTCTTTGTCATCATTGAAAGTCATTCCCAACCTGATCTGGGGGATATCTGCCAGATAGCACAGCTGCAGCCATATAAGGATAACACTTTATGAAAGACACTACTATAAGAGGAAGTCCCTACCATAGAAGATCTTTACCCATTTCTCGCTCTTTTTACATGTCATGTCATGACCACGAACAACCTGATTAGTCGTTTAAGAACGCTATGCAGCGCCATATATAGTATTTATGCCTATGAAATCATAAAACACCTGCTAAGGGATCAAATTTTGTACTTCGTTAGTCTAAGTCCAAGATAAGCCTCCAGCACGTACATATATATTCTACATAGATGTGCCTTGTTAGAATCCAGAATTCAGAAACCAGAATTCCGATTCGTCTTCTTTGTTATTTGTATGGCTCTCTTACCCTTTATCCATATCTGCATTATCGCCTCTGTTGTAATAAAATACAAGAACTATAGTTGTATTTTGCTTAATAAAGCCAAAGATAAAAGTGATTATGGCTCTTTTCTTATACGGGCAAGTGCTTGATAGCTGGAAAGATACTGCTCTTAATTGGGTTTCTTTAAGATAAGCAAAATGATCAGAATCGAGGAATGGCCTTTGACTTGATAGTAAAATGAATTCAAGGAATATTTTCTAGTATACTCTGATACTAATTAACTTTTTAAAAGATCTCAAATTTAATAAATCATAAGAATTCAGAGTTATCTTCGAATTTGCTTGAAGATCGTAAACGATATTTAGCAGAGACACCCACCACCCAACTTTTACAGTCTGAACAAACACCCGAATTTCCGAAAAGCAAAGCTTCAGTAAACCCGGTAGATTGTTGATTTTAAATTTGTTTTCCTTAAAGGTATTCAAAGGCTAATCGCTCAAATTAAATTAGATACGGTTAAAGATATTTTTAAATTTTATAAGAACACATTTCTAGTTAAGACAACACAACGGCTGCCTATCAAAATGGGGCAGTTGAGATTTCAGCGCCGATTTCTGGATAGAACGACGCGACGCGTCGCGACGGGACGGGACGGACTGTGACTCTTCCCCATCGCTGCTTTGCCGGCTGCTTGTGGTCGCGTCTGGTTTTGGGGCTGGCTAATCAGTTAGTATGTTTTTTATTCTTGGCCAGCATGGAGCTGCCTTGCGGTCGCCGGTTTGTCGTTTAAAAAGAGAGAGAGGAAGGCTAGCTGAGAGAGACTCTCCGCCAGACTTTTATGTTGATGGTTGTTCTTGTTGGCTTTGTCGTTGTCGCAATCGCAGCCGTTTTTAGACTCCGGCCAGCGTCGTTGTCAATTTTGGGTTTCGATTGTTGTCGGATTGGATTTGTGAGTCGGCGCTCGGCGAGTGTGCGTGCATTGCCCAAAAGCGAACGGCGATCGCTTCACATATTTGTTTACTTAATTATCGAGTTGCTCGGATAGTGACGTCAGGCCCAGCTAGTGACGAGCGAATCAACCATGGCTTTGCGTTGGTTCTTCCCTCTCGGCTTCTGGCTCTTCCTGGGCGTGCAATCGCTGGAAATTGCCAGCATTGACCATCCCTGCGCCTATGCGGATACGGTCAACATCACGGATGGACTGCGGATGAAGGATGGGTCTTACTCCTACGGCGGCGTAGTGGTTCCGCCGCATCTCATGGCGGAGTACTCCTTCAAGGTGATCGACGGGGTGGAGTACAGGGCCAAGAAGCACCTGCGCGGCTGCGTCTGCCTCCTGAAGCCATGCATTAGCTTCTGTTGTCCCGGACACCTGATATTCGACTCCAAGCACTGGAACTGCTCAATGCCACACCAAGTGCGGGAATCCACTCACGTGGATCTGACCTACGCCAACAGGTCGGTGGAGCAAGTGCGCATCATTGATAGGTTTGTGGTGCGCACCGAACTCGGCTGCCGGAACAAGTTCGTTGACAAGAAGCACGAGAACTTCTGGCAGTGGGACCTCTTTGAGAATGGATCGCTGCAAAGGGACCAGCGCTTGTGGTCCACGGATGAGTACTGCTTTAGCCCCCTGGAGCACAAGCCCGAGCAGTGGGAACTCACTCCGCTGAGCTGCGAACGCTTCCAAACGGGCTACCGGGTCTGGATCTACGCCATCTGTGAGTTGTCTTTTTTTGTCATAAAATTTCAAGTCTTATCCTTATCTCTTCTCTTCCAGGCAGTATTCTAGCCATCATCATAAACATTTTCATACTCTCCCTCCTGGCTTCTGTGCGGGATGCCAGGAAGAGCCACTATGGCCAGCTTATCATCTACTACCTGCTCTCCATGATCGTGGGCTACTCCTTGCTGGTCTACTTGGCCCTGAAGAATCCCATGAAGCTCTCGCACGATGCCTGCCGGAATATAGGTGTGTCTCATTACGTTCTTTCTCCGTCTCCGTCTTGACATTTCCCTTTACCCCTACAGGTTTCCTGGCCTACTTCTGCATCATGCTCTCCTTCGTCTTTCTGGCCATTTGCAGTTTCGACTTTCTGCTGAAACTCAAACAGAAGGCGGTTAGGAACTGGGTGCGTCGGCTGGCTTACTTCTTGGCCGTCCTGGCAGTGGTTGGGCTTCGGTTTTTAGTGTCCTTCGCCCAGGACTCCAAGTTGCCCAAGCACTACAAGCCAGGCATGGGCGAGGATTACTGCTGGTTCGATGGTGAGTTCAACATGAAATCAAGTTACATATTTAACTCACTTTTGTAATCCCAATTGCAGTTCGTACGTGGGGCATTTTGATCTATTACTACGGACCCATTACCCTGCTGCTGGTCTTCAGCATCGTCTGCTGCCTGAAGGCCTACTTCTCCATCTACGAACTCCCTCCGGACACTCAGTACATTCTCGGCACTCAACTGAAGATCGTCAAGACTCAGTAAGTACCTTGAGACCGTCTCTAGCCTGAGCCACCCTATAGGTATATCCTTCTAGTTTCTATGCCTTCAGTGCCTACATTGTGGGCGTGTTCGCTGTCTGGATCCGGGAGATAGTGGTCTACATAATGGCCAGGGTGAGGGAGCACTTCTTCATCATCGACTTCTGGAGCGGCATTTGCATCCTGGGTCTGGCCATAGCTGGTTTCATTCTGCTCCTTGGCAAGAACTTGTACGTGAAATCCTGGTGGGCCATCAATGTGTAAGTTTTGATTTCCAAAAAAGGAATCCTAACCTTAACCATTTCCCGACTTTTCACAGCGAATCCAGTCAGACTGATCTGAGTGTCATCAATGCTCGCGTCTACAAGTTCGACGAGAAAGGCGACTTGAAATCTTCAGGTGGGTACAAAAGTCTCTTCCTTAATCGATCTGCTTTTAATATTTCGATATCTTCCTCTCTACAGATTCTCCATATAAGCCGACAGTGACATCACTCTAGTTGGATCTTAAACGGTTGCTCATCTATTCGCTTAGCTTATAAATCATTCAGTCTGACGCACCCAAAACGTGTAAATACAACGAGTGCTGCAGTGTACTAGCCCTAAGAAAATGGTTAAATAAAACTTCTTTACTCTAAGACAAGCAGATTCATCAATTTTAGCTCTTCTTCAGTATAGTTAGTCCCCCAAAGACCTATCAGTTCAGACGTGAGGTAGATATAGAACTCAAACTCAAAGTTCTTGATTTTCCCAACTGGCTTTTTCCTACATCTATTAATTACGAATCGAAGAAACCCCTTTCTTGACAAACGCCTTCCGAAATATCAGAACACATCATCTTTTGATTTGACTCATAAACTATAGAGCATTTGCCGGCCATTTTGATGGTTTCCGGACTGTCTGTTTTTTCCCCTTTGTTGTTGTAAACAAAATGCCGCACGTTCCACGCAAAGAGGGTGTGTGCTTTTCCATGCCACAAAAGCACCACAGACACACCACAGACCGCCTTCGATTGAGTTCGCTGCGATTCGGGATTCCAGTCCAAGTTCGGACCGTGTCAGGCGCGCAGGCGATGATCCGCTCAGTCAATTAACGGCTCCCACCTCGGCCACCGGGCGACGTCATCAGTGCCCAATCCAATCCAATCCATTCCGTTTCGATACGATTCGATTTCGGTTTGGCAATCGTCTGGAGGTAAACAGGCATAAATCGGACGCTCTAGCGTAAACAAAACACAGCATTCGGGGCAGATAGGCCAGGAGAACGCAGAAACAGAGATCCGCAGTCGAGAATGTCTCTTCGAATGGCGCAGTTCTGGCTTGTGGGAGTCCTCCTCGTCCTCTCGACCCTCCACTGCTCGTGGGGATACCACGAGGAGACGCACTACCCCTGTGCCTTCATCGACACAGCCAACATCACGGGAAGCTACGGCTTGGACGGTCCCTACGTCCACAACTGGACAGTGATTCCCCGCCATTTCGTGGCCGTCTATGACTTTGTCATCGAAAACGGCATCCGCATTCCGGCAGCCAAGCACCTGAGGGCCTGCGTCTGTAAGACCAAGCCATGCGTCCGGATCTGCTGCCAGGAGGGTGAGATCTATGACCTGGAGAGGAGGCAATGTTCAGTTCCAGGCGTCAGCTCTGTTCCCTCCCAGAGCCACATGGAGGTGGAGCTGAGGAACGGCAGCCTGAGGGATGTGGAACTGCAACCGCTCTTCAGCATCCACGTGGAAACGCCGTGTGACCACATGAAGACCGTCACCAAGGGATCGGAGTTCGTTCACTGGACACTTCACGAGGTGGGCCGTATAATATATCTATTAGAGCTCTTGAGGATTAGCTTCCACCCTTCCAGAACGGAACCATCAGCCATCGAGGCCACATATTCTCGAAGCACTATTGCTTCACTCCGCTGCTCCACGGGAACTCCAGCTGGGAGTGGCAGCCCCTGGCCTGTGCCCCCGAGAAACTACACTTCGTGCTGGGCGTGCGGGAGTGGACCTACGCCATATGTGAGTAACCCAGCGATTAGGCGCAGTCACAAATATGCTTTCAATTTCTTCGAGGCGTTTTAAAAATAGTTCATCGCCCATAAAAGCAATTGCTAAAACAACAAGAGAAATCGGAGAGTGACGATTGATGGTTTGATCGCCAGAGATGGTCGCTCGCTCCGAACTTATCCAGCTGGTTCTCTCTGCAGGTCTGCTGATTGCCATCCTATCCATGTTCATCGTGCTGATGGTCTACCTCATGTGCTCCGAGATGCGCAACAGCTTCTACGGTGTGGCCATAAAGGCCTATGCCGTCTGCATGATCTTGGGCTATGCCCTGCTGGCCTATCTGACCCTGCACAACCCGGCGAACATCTCGAATGCAGCGTGTCGTATTCTACGTAAGAACTCCCTGCACTCCCGGATAATGTCCTGTAATAGATAACCTTTTCTCTTGCATCTCTAGCCAGCCTGACGCTGATGTACTTAGTCCTGTCCTTCTACATCCTGAGCTTCATCGCATTCAAGCTCTACTTGAGCTTCCACGGCGTGGTCTTCACGAAGCTAATGTTTTGGCTTATTTTCACCCCCATCGTACTGATCGCCGTGGGCTGGTCCTTCTTCGTGGGCTTCAGTTACTACGGCACCCGGCTGATCTTTGGCGGCGACACGTGTTGGTTTGATCGTGAGTTTCGTGATCATTCCTTATCATTCCCTGATTACCCTTAATCCTTGATCCGCCAGCTCGTAATTGGTCCATTATGATCTACCTGTATGCCCCCATTTTCGTTGCCTGCGCCATCAGCGGGTTTTTCTATATCCTCAGCCTGATTTACATCAGCGAGCAGCCTGAAATCGAGACCGACAAGAGCTTCGAGTCCGTCGAGAACAACCGCTTCAGGTCCTTCTGGAAATACGTGGGCTACACGGCGCTGGTGTGGCTCGTCTGCGTCTGCTCCTTCGCCTTCAACTACTACCGCGAGAACCGATCGCATCTTAACTACGCCGTCAGCTTCTGCATGGCCTTCCATGGCTTCGCGGCCCTCTACGCCCTCATTGGCAAGAACCAGCAGATCCAGAACTTCTTGCGCCGCATAGACAAGTGAGTATAGCTAAGAAATCTAGCTCTTAACAAATAATTTATAACATTTCCCTTTTAGTGAGGAGGACACCTGTGAGAACTCCGTCCCTTTGTCGAGTTTCGGTTGAAATTGAAACAGTTTTGTGGCCACTGTCCAGATTTAGTGCAACTGAAAGCAATGCCAGCAACCTCTGAGCAATGGTTCGAAAACCTCTTCTTATTCTAGACACGAACCGGAGATTTGGAAGGCAGAGATGTGTAAAATACGTGTAAAATGTGTAAAAACTATGTGTAAAATTATTAAATTCAGACTTTTTACTTTAATATTAACTTTTGTGTTATTTATATTTAGTAGTAAGGAACTACAGGTGCTGAACCGTACCAGTGGAACTATTGTTTTATAATATTGAAAATAGTCTAGTGCAGAAAGAGCATACCCTGTAGACTGATATGTCTTTGATCGTAAAAGGAAAATAGATATACCAACGAACAACATCTGATCAGCATTCCTTATTTTAACAAAATAACCAACTTAATACAGTCAGGCAGCAAGGCTAATAAGAAATGTGGCTGACTGGGCTGGCACTACTGGGCTAGACTAAACAGCGGTAATAATCTTCGAAATATTAAATTTCAAAACACCTTCCGACAGTCTCCGCCCTGCTTAGGCTTCCGCAAACTTTCCCCTGCCCGCCGAGCGTTAAGCAATTGCAACAATTTCCAATTGCTGGCGTATCCAATTTAAGCTTCCCCACCAGAATCGCACAACAAAAGCAACCCGAAACTCTGACCAACAATATACACGTAAATAACGTAATTTACACAACACAAAACAAATTCTGAAGTTGGCCGTAAGGCAACGCTAGTCGGGGTCCCGGTCCTGCTCCTGGTCCTCGTCCTGGAGCACCACAGAATCCAATCCACGGCAATCCACTTTCCCCGTTCCCAAGTTGCAATTCCCTGGACCGTGGTCGAGTGTCCCCAGTCTCCAGTTCCCGCCCCAATCCCTGTTCCTGCCCCGATCTCTCTATATAATAAGTGCGCGCCGATTTTGTTTGACATCAGAGGTCAATGTCCGCGAAACAGACAGAGCGAGAGAGAGAGAGAGAGTCGTTCGGCGAGAGAGCTGCATCCTTGCATCCTGGCAGGGGGCTGTCAAGCGCAAGGAATCAAGTGGAAAGTGAAACGAGAGGCGAGGGCGGGAGTTTTCCTCTTTTCGCTGGTGCTCTTTTGATGTGGCCTCGCCCAACTCCAGCCCACCCACTCACTCCCAAAAACCCCACCCAAGCCCCCACATCCTCCTCCCACACGCCTACATCATCTCTAAACCGAAAGCGACGAAAACTCAACTTCGGCTCCTTTGGTCCTGCTCTTTTTTTGGCTGGGCGTACAGCAGCAGGACACGGAATACACACAGATAGAGAGAGACAGAGAGACAGAGAGAGAGAGAGAGAGGTCGAAGGATACACAGACAGAGAGAGCAGATGGATCGATAAAACGTAGTAAAAATTCTCGTAGTAATGGAAGCTGGAAAAGCCCGGCATACACAAACGCCAACTGCAACGGCATCGGCGGTGGCGGCGGCTCCGGCAGCATCCTGACGTGCGCACTGGAAAACCACGAGAGGTAGGACATGTTTGGCGCGTTTTTCGGCTGCATGTGTGCGCGTGTTTTGTTTTGTTAATATTCGTATGCAAAAGTGCAAAGCGAGGCAGCGGGAAAGGGGAAACAGCAGGGAAGGGTGGGAGGAAAGCCAAACCAAACTCGACCGCGCCCTGTTTCAGGACTTCCCTCCGTCCACCCCTGCGCTGGCCCACCATATCTATCTCCTGGCAACGGAACTAACATGAAAATTAATTACCAAATGACTTTATGCTTTTTAAGGCCCCGATGGCAGTTAAAGGATATTAGACAAGCCATTAAATGGCTAACTGGTTGCGGCTGCACGGCCACGCCCTCTGTGCGGAGGAGGGTGAGACTCCCCTGCCCTCAGTTGAGGTGGCAATATCGAAATTGGAAATCACTAATTAAGATTCGGAGACATCCTGGGCAGATTGCGGAACTTTTAAGCTGATGTAATAGCTAATGGCTTGGACTAGCACTTATACTAACTATCACTTATACTAACTATCACTTATACCAACTATCACTTATACTAAACTAGCACAAAGTGCACTATCTATTGGAAAGTGGAATGAAATCATTTACCATCTTAGTATGCGGCACATTAACTCTTTTATCCCTCACTAAAAACTGCCCCCTCCGCCTCGTTTCCGGTCTGATTATTTTCCCTCTAATGACCTGCCCCCCCCCCAACTCCTCCAATTTTCAGGTGTATTGCACAGGCAAGGCACGTAAATCAAATCAAATACAATAAATAACTTTTAATTTAGCATTCTTGAGGAATCTACAACTCGAAGAGTAATTTATGCCCCTGAAAGGCCCGAACAAGCAATTGACCAACATTTTCCAAAGAGTCGGGTTTCATAATTTATAAATTAATGGAAAAGGCAAGAAAAGCCCCGAAAGGGGGGTGATAAGTTAAAAGCGAAAGAGGCGTAGCGTCATAAATTCATTGATGAAAAGCCATTAACAGTTACGCGTAGAAATGTGGCCACCAACTTCGGGGAGGGGTACCTGAGGGCACCTCAAATTCCAGTAAGTCATAATCACAGACCCCCTCCCCCTTATATACACCTTTCTATATACATATAGAAACCCTGAGGTATTTGAGCAGGGGCCTTTGGACTCCCAAAGTGGCATACGCGTGTGCTCTCGTTTCTCACCTGCAATGACACCTTTTCATTTGGCCCCCAGTAATCATGAAATTTTTATTATTTGTTTCTCCTTCGTTTTGTGTGTTTCGTTTTCCTTTTCTTTCTTCTCTTTCTCGCTGTTTGCTCATTGTTGTTTGTTGTGCTTGTCCACCGGAGCTGGCATTGTTGTGTGGGTCTCGAGATTTATTTCGTGCGCCGCTCGAAACGTTTCGTTTCTTCAATTTACCCAACAGCCAGGGCTTAGAGCGATCTGCCCGCTTCTTCAGCGCTTCCATTGAGAGCTGAGAGCTGAGAGCTGAGGCATTCCTCGCGGTCTTTGCTATGCCCTGTAATCAGGGGATCGCGATAGGCTGAGCTGCTATCAGTGATCAATGGGGAAAGCGGTTTACTTCATTCTATGAAACTTAAAACAGTTTATTAATCGATCTTTATTAACTATTTATTTTTAATCAAAAGTCTCATAAGGTACGTACCCTACCTACTTCCTCAACCTCAATCGATATTCCCATCGTGGTATCGAGTATTATCACACACCTGTTTGACCTCCCAGCGATCGTTCACTTCAGAGGCCGCAATTGTAGAGCATCCGCTTCGGGGGTTTTCTCAAAGTCTGACGATCTTTTATGGCTGCGGCACGTGTAAATACTTAACACAATTTTCAAGTTTTCTTTCTGTGAAGCTTTCGTTCGGCTTTCTATGGCCAAGCGCCATAATCGTTTCAAGTGTTGAGAGAATTACGAGAGCAATTAAAGTTACACAGCGACACAGCGACACAGGGTACAGAGCACAGAGGATGAGAAGATTTGAGATGAAGAAACCAAGCCAAATACCGCTTGACACGTTCAGGGGGCTCCCACAGCCCTTCCCTTCCGCCCAGAGAAGTCCAAGAGAGATATCTGTATCTTTATAGACCGGAGATCAGCCGTCGGTTATCGCTTGTCGAACGCTCAATTAAGGGACAAACCGCGTCCCCGATGGGGCACTGTGAGTCACAGCATTCCAACTTGCAGTCACCTCCCAACCCGACAAGATCAGACCCAAGCCAACTGGAGTCTGGAATGGTATTCCCATGCAACAATGTTGCAGAAGAGCATATCGTGCCGACATCGGGAAGAGCAGCAGGGACAACAAAAACAGCCAAGACAACAGCGACATCGACGCGGCATGAGTGTTCGTTTTTTTATGCATGCCGTCAGTCTGTACAGGGTATCAAGGGGGCATCTAAGACTGGGTAAGATTCTTCCATTCCATTTGAAACTTTTTAAGAAGTTGCTTCATCAAAGTTCCAAAGATCCATCTTGATCTTGATAAATATTTGAGAGATAGTTAAAATTTCAAGAAAGGAAGAAATTTGCATCCATATTCTACCCTATAATAGGTATCCCTTGGTCGAACCCCCTCTTTCTCATTCTCCTGGACTCCTTTAAATGCTTTAACCCATTGACGACGGAGATCTTTCAAGGAATTCCAGCGCCTAGCGAACTTTTTCCGCTTTTGTTTTCGGGTCAGCAACTGATGAGGGACGAAGGACAACGCGAGAGGATGCGGATGAGGATGGGCGGGACGATCCAAGCATCTTTATGGCCACACTGCGTACTGGGAGCTTGGAATGAGATGGAACCTGGGTGCCGGCGGACCCATTAAGTCAAATGACGGGCAGCCGCACAAATTCTGCCCAGCGGCAACAATGTTGCAACTCCAGCAACTCCAGCAACGACAACGATGGCGGCACATTAATGAAGTGATTTGCACTTTTTACCAGCTTTTTTCTGACCACCAACAGAGGAGGGGGTCTCGCACTGCTCCGAGATGAATTCCCCGTTTCCAGGAACAGTCCAATTCCACATCCAGGCGGTGGGTGAGATTTATGACAGCCACTGTGGATCATCGTGTCACTTGTCAGAGCCGAAAAGGTGAGTTCCATGGAGTCGGAGATAGCGAAAGCGATTTACATGGAGTGTGGCTAATTAAGCCGATCGAGGCACCCATCCTGACATGGCCAAATGGAGCACTCCTCTCGGTGTAAGAGAACCCTTCGCATCAGTGTCAGCGTGACCTCTTTCCAAGTCCATGGATCCTCGCAGTGATGAACGCACAGCCCAAAGAGTTTCTTCGCGGAGAAATTCTCGTCTTCTACTGAGGAGAAACTCAGCTTGATTATCTTCATTCTGGTTGAAGAGGTTTCCCGAGGGGTCATAAGAAGATCATTCTTGTTTGGGAAATCGTGATCAATCCATCCGATACTTTCATACTCCTTACTTAGATTGGCTGAAGCCTCTACTTTTCGTGCCTGACCTTGAAGATTTGTCAAGCATATCAGGAAAGTGTGTTAAAAACTAACATAAGAAACCCCAAAATACCAAAGAGAATCAAGATCATTGAGCTGAATTTGACTTCATTAATAATATTTTCCAAAGGAAAGCTCTTCGCTCTTCTTTAGCACATTCCTGCCACTTCTCTATTTTGGTCCATCAATGCCGATCGTGATCGATAGAAGATCTATTG